AAAAAAGATATCAAAAAGTTGTACATAAAACCTGCAGCGTTGCGAAACCGCGCATTGACACGACGATTTCATAAAATTTCATTGTGATTGGCTAATCACGCGTAAACAAGTTTCAACGCTCTCCGCGGTTGCAACAATGCAACTTCCATAGCGATCCAAATACACGTTGCCGGGTGAAAGCAAAAAACATTTATTGCGATATTATCCGGAGCGTGTACTTTTCGTCGTGTGGAACGGGAACGGTCCCACGATTATCAACTCTAATTCTGAATTCTTTTTTTTTCTTTTAGGAGGGAGGGGAGGGAGAAGAGGGGCATTCCAAAAGCGAACCTTCTGACGCATTTTGTTTGACGTTGAAATATTAAAAACATTTCGCAAACATTCCGACATTCTTCTTTCAACCGTGCACTAATACGTTCTGTTGTTTATTTAACGAAACAACAACAGTTTTTAACGTTGATTTATTTTTAACCATGTTTTTGAAGAGAGTTTTAAAAGCTGCTCGACAAAAAAACGACTCAAAGGAGACTTTAGAGTTCGGAATTAGAGTTAAAAAAAGAAACGGCGAGGCAAAAACTGCTCCATATTTTGCAGCCAGAAACTCCGCTTGGCCGGGTCCGGGCAGAAATTCTCATCGCGAGAAGAGATCCACGAGCGAGATCGAGAAAAGCGAAGAGGCGAATGAAAAAGGAAAAAGAGTTGGCGTAGAATGTAGACGAGAGAGCGGCGGCCGGGCGGCGGCGAAGCGAGAGGCGCGCGGAAGCGAGCGCAAGAGCATCGGTGTGCATGTGTGTGTGCGCCGCGGAGAGAGATTGCATGAAGCACGGAGGTGCAGCGATAGGACGAAAGAGCGACGTGCAGTTCCTAAGGCGAGCGGGACGGGACGGCGAGGGCGGGAAAGTGCGATTTAGAGGGGCGCGAGGGACAGATCGCCGCGTACACGTATGCAGTTCTCTCGGTGTATGAACCCCCCGGCTAGTCGAAGAGGGGGTTAGATCCGCCGTGGTGGGGGGTAGCGCGCCGTTTTTGAAAAAACCGCAAGGCTTTAAGTAGACGCGCGTTACCCCCCACCACCGAGTACTACGCGGGCAACTAGCGACCGAGACATAGACAAGAGCCGCGCTTACTATTATTCGGAAAATAGTGCGAATGCGCACAAACGACGAGAATTCGCCGATCGCGTCGTGAAAATTTTCGCGTGTTCGCGCAAAGTCCGGCAAGTAAGAAGTGTATTTAATTTTTTTTGAGAGGAGAAAGGGAAGGGGGTTTCTCTTTCCGCGAATTAACACGGACAATTTTGACGAGTATTGTTTTTGGGGAGAGACATTAATTTTGGAGGAATATCTTCCGAGGAAGATACTGTTACGCTATATTGATTAGTGACGATGTATCTATTGGAAATAAATACTGCGTATGTGCAATATGTTACCAAGTTCGCGACTGGATTTCGAGTTGGTCGATGAAATAGCGGCGTCCTTGAAGAGATTGGAAACTCGTGAATGCAAATTATTTGTGAACGCAATCCCGAAGATTCGCTTGCCTTCCAGTTTGTGTTCTTCGACGAAAATAAATAGGAAAGAAAGATTTTTTAACCTTTTTTTTTTTTTGATAATTTAATGAATTTAATGAAGACAGTGGAGAATATTCAATAAGTGCTCCTCTATATGCTATATTAATTATACACACACACACACACACGTGTATTTGTCTTGACGGAATCTCTACTTGTGAGGTATCGCGTTGAAATACTGTTTTGCTTCAAATTATTTTGAAATCGTTTTCATTCGCCCAACTTTGCTGTAATTGGCCGCTCTCTCTCTCTCTCTCTCTCTCTCTCTCTTCTAAGTGTATTTAATTTCACAATTAGCACATGAGTTCAACGAAACTTACTTACATACTTTGCTTCGCTGTAATACGAACTTGAGTTATGATGAATATTTTTTTTTTTATAGCAAAAAGAGGATAAATCAGGAATACATTCGCGTTTTAATTTCTTTATCTTTACGAATATTTAGTTGGCCTTGAAGATTTATATTTCGGATTAAACATAAAATTTTATATACATTTATAAGTGCGCGGAGATAAGCCGTTTATCAAGTTCATCGCGTAACAAGAATATTTTAAATTGCTACATTTTTATTTAAATCGTATATATTTTATTTGTATTACAAATTGCAGTCAGATAACTTGATTGATGATGCAAATTGTTTCAAAATTTAATATTCTCCAAAAAAAAAAGAGAGAGAGAGAAAAAATATATATAAATTCTGCGCTATATTTAGCGCGTGTTCGGGAAACGGGAGATGGGATTGACCGCAATTTTATATTAGAAAGCGCGCGAAAAAGAAAGACGCGAACGTCGGCGAAATTAGAGAGGCGGGACAACCTGTGATACACTAATGAAACCCCATCGCTTGAAAAGAAACGAATTGAGCCGCTCGTGGAAAGCTGGCCCGGTTTAATTGCAGAAGTCAAACATCGTATGCAACTTTCACCGACGTCTGTGTTTATGCATTATATACCCTTTTGCTCGAGAGACAGAGACAACTTCGGTTGTTGGGGCAGGAGACGTTACATGCGCGCCGGTTAAAGAAAGGCGTGTAATATATTTCATTAGTGGGCGAGAAGCTCTCTTTGGGATCGCAGTAATGCACGACGTAATGTCATCGTTGAAAATTGCGTAACAAAAAAGATATTCCCCGTCCACGCGCACGGGGTGTGACACTTATTCGAAAATTCGCTCGCACGCTCCTCCGCCGTATTTGCAGTTTGTGATGAACACGCAGATGTGTTGCAAAAAAACTAAAAAAAAAAAAAAAAAAGATATTAAAATACAAATTTTATTCCCCTCGAAAAAGTTCGACGCTTCTGCGTTCGATAAACAGCACACGTGAGATAGTCAAGTTCTATATCTATGCTCCGCCACGTGCTTTTGCAAGTTAACTTGCGGGAAGGTTTATATATTATACCGGAACGCGAGGAGGTTTGCACTTTTCTTGACCTTCGCGCCGTCGGCATTCGATGCGGCATAAACGTTGAACGGGTTCGACGATACGATAAAAAGAAAGAAAACATATACAGCGCGCGATTTTCTCGAGTGCGTCGAAAAAAAAAATAAAACTAAAAAATACGTCCACAAGTTTTGGAAAAAAAAACGACGCGTAAATCGCGGCGATATATATCGGATGTATATGCGCGAAATTAAAATCAGGTCAATCCCGCTCGTCCTCGGGCGAGAAGCAGACGTACGGTATTTTTGGCTGAGTCATATGCACATACGTTAATAATAATGTGTGCGTAATGCGTGCGTTATGTGTGTCTTGTTGCAAACGCGCACACGTTTGTGTGTTTCTCGCCTACACGCGGGAGCGCGTGTGCTGTGCACGCCTCGGCCTGCGGCTTATAACAATGCAGTTCGAACAATGTACACTGCGCGCCGTCAATTGGTAGGCAAAGTTAATGGATTCTTCTACGTAAGCCCGGCGCGAGCGCGAATTTATTGGCCACGCGGCATGAACGTGAACTCATTTGCTCCGACATTTGCAAAACTTTACGGACAAATATTTCGATGCGATAAACAATATTTTTTTAAATGCACACCGAAAAGAGGATCGATGAATATATATATATATATGTATATGTATTTTATAAAATATATGTACGTGTTTAAAAAAATATATATTAGAAACAATGATCGTGGAATTTTCTTTAAACTCAAGACGACTAAATCCGCAGACACTTTTTTGCTCGCTTCTTGAAATTGAACTTCGATCGGGCACGTGACATTTCGGGCAAATTTATTTTTTTTTTTTTCGATCGGGTCTATTGAGAGAAGTTAATGAAGCAGAAAAAAAAAGTGAATTTAAATCAATCCGTAATATTATACGGATGCGTTACGGCACTTCTGCTGCAGCAAAGAAAGAAATTCGCGCCAAGCGAAAGAGAGTTGAGAGCGAGACGAATGAACGCAACAGCGCGCTGATGCATCGCTATTAAATGCAAAGTGATATAACGGTACGCTTGCCAGCGCGGGCAATAGATCTCGATTTTGGCTTCCCGATCGCGCGCGTACTTGGACTTTTCGGTCTCTCCCTCTTGTTGGCGAGGAGAATACCTTTATACGGAGATTCGAAATCGCGCGATTTTTCCGCACCCGCGCAATTCCGTCGCGTGTCGAAAAACAATCGAATTCGAAATTTTATTATAGACCGTTTCTTCTATAAATCACACCGTTGTCGCGGCGCGGTGCAATCTGGGGCAAAGTTCTGTAAATGTTTGCTGCGTATCTTATTACGGCACGGGCGTCGAGATTTAAACCAAGGCCGATGGTATTTGCGTGGTTACCGCGTTATGTAAGCTAATCGAGCATGCATATGAAGATCAAACAGGGCTGTATCGATTATATTAAAGTTCATAATGTGCTTCTCTCATCTGGGGTTAATAGTTAAATTCCCTTCCGCTTCCCTTCCCTTCCCGCGTTCAACTCTCTTTCTCTCTCTCTCTCTCTCTCTCCCTCTTTCTCTCTATCTGCGCGTTCATTAATTGATAACAAAAATCACGTCCCGCTTACGAAAAGTTCTTCTTCGCGAAACCTGTTTTTCCACGTGCACTTATGAGAAGTTGTTCTTGATTTTTAAATTTCGAATATCGGTTCCGAAAAAAAAAAAACGTTTGGTAGCGCGTTGAAATATTTCTTTTAAATTTTGCAAAAGTTTTGAAATAGGGTCTTTTTCGATGTGCATAAATTATAAACGAAATCAAGCAATCTAAACGACAGTCAATAATTTTACACAGAAAATATAAATAAAAATTTGTGTGTGCGTGGTCATAAATCTTTTTAAATAATTAGCTAAATGGTCTGAAGTTAAAATGTCACAGGGTCTGGTCAAGAAATGTCTTCTAAAAGAAGCGCGCGCTACAGTTGACGTTAAAAGTGTCTTCTCTTCTTTGTGAGAATCGCGCGTGTATATATGAGGGTTGTTAAGAAGTCATTAACTCACGTCTTGCGCGGAGAGAACCCTCGTAGCGGCTTCAACGGTAACGTTTCCGGAGTGTGGGTGATGATGCTGCGACTCGGTCGTGTTGTCGCTAGCGCAACCGCTCTTCTTCCAGAAGAAACCATTCTCGCCGCTTCGATACTTTCGCCAAACGTGTCTGGTAATAACGCGCACAAATAATGAGAAAACAAATCATCGATATATCGTTTAAAATTTGACGAGTTAGAAACGTGTAATATTTACGTAATTTGTTCACAAAAATGTTTTCACGTCAAGTGCTTGTGGTTTTATCGCGAATTTTTTTACTATAATAATTTTAATTTTTAACTTCAAGATAAAATATCTGCGTTATAATAACTTTTTTTTTTAATAAAATTAATCAATTTACGAGTTCACTCATTAACCCACTGACGTCGACCTTTTTTGTGTCAAATTGATTTTGGATCTTCACGATCCCCCCGAAACTGCTCAAAAGATTTTTTTTTTTTTATCAACATTCTATAATTCAGCTCGCAATATAACTAAACACATTTAAAAAAAAAAGTCACGCAAGCTTATTTATTTATTGTTTATATTAAAAACAAAGAAAAGAAACTTATCGCTGAGTGGGCGCGTTAAAAATAAACGCTCAACGCTTTTTGAACGGCGCTTTTGAATGACGTATCCTTTTTCGTAATACGCGAGAAATTAGCATACCTGCAGCCGAAGGCGATTCCCAAGGCGATGATCAGCGGCAATAACGTCGATATGCACGCGAGTAAAACGGTCTGTATGTCTGAAAAGCTGGGAAGGATACCTGAAATATAATCATCATAAAATATCCAAAGCGAAAAAGCACGGTAATAACTTGCGTCGTTTTACTAGCTATAAGCGATCCGCAAGCGATACAGTCATGAAGAATTCCTTCGCGTGATTACACGGGACACACACGTATCGGTGCCCGAAAAACCACGACCGATACAGTGTGTTGCGTGGATTGCTTGAAAAATTTTTATATAACTTTGCGCGTTCTATTTTCTCGAATTTTTTTACGTGTAACGTTGTGAATTCTTTGTTACTTTTTTTATTGCATATAAAAACTAAAAATCTGAACTACACGTTCAGTTTTATCACGTGTGTCAATAGATATCACACGATAAAATATATGTTTTCTTTGTCACAAAAGAAGGAGCCCGAAACCCGTTTTTGTTTTTTTGTTTTTTTTTTTTTGAAAAATCCACTTTCGCGTGCGAAGTGAAAAAACATTGCTGGCGGCTTCTTTCTAAGCTCTTGTTCCGACAAACAAAACGCTTATATGCACCACATCGCACCGTATCAAAAAGTTGTTGTCGCACGTAATTATCTTTACATCGAGCTTTTATATATCTTTGTTTCACAAAACTAAAAGTGCTTACTTACTTTGATCGAGCTCATCGTGTTCGACGAGGTACTCCGTCACGTTGGAGACGTGATGGTGCGCCTTGGCGGTGGTGGTGACAGTTTCGGGATCGCTCGTCGTCACCACTGTGGACGGATTAGGCGAAACATTCGTCTCGGCGTTAATTGCGGCCGCTATCACGGTTGAGGGAAGAAAAATCATCGACGTGAGATTCAGTTTTCTCGTCATCGCGTCGGCGTGCGTTGTGCTATTGCGATTTGCCATCGTTTCTCCCGTTTGATTCGTGCCGTACGACGCATCACCAACAGATTCAGGGTGATCAGATAAAGTCCGTGTCGACTGTGAAAAGATGAGAAACAGCGCAACTACATTCAAACGGTTTAACGTTGCCGTCGATCACCAATTTCTACGATCATATTATACGATCACTCTGTCTCTCTCTCTCTCTCTGTCTTGTTATTACGCGTATCGTCTCATGGTTTTTTAACGTTTTTAATTTCGAATCTCAAATCTGTCGCGTTTGGTTCCGTCTTCTCTATGCGTTTCGAAGACGACAGACATCTCGCAGAAATATTCCGCAGAAATTGTTGGCTAATGGGTCAGTGTATTGCGTACATAAATCTTGTGTTTTCGCACTTGCAAATGTGTGTTCGTACGGTACACATACACATACACGTCTCTCCGCTCACGCCATTTCATCCGTGACAAGCTTTTACGATAGACGAAAACATCAACGGCAACCTCATTTTCGTTTTACCTTCGCCTTAATAGAGCGATATCAAGTGTCATGCGGAGGAGTATACGGCGAGAGATATACAGACGCGTAAATTTTTTCCTCTCTCTCTCTCTCTCCCTTTCTTTCTCTCTCTTCTCTCTCTCTCTTCACATAGTCAGATACGATCACATTGCGAATTTTGCGCCGCTTATCTTATATTTAAGAAAGATAGAACACTTTTACGTCATATCAAAAAGTTGATCAAGTTTTATATTCAAGCGTATACTCTCTCCGTAATCCTTCGTTTCCTTCGTCTCTCTCGTTCGCTTCTTCTCAATAATCGACCTTCTACCGTAAACTTCGCGCGCGCACGAAATTCGTTTCTCTCTTCCTTCTGGTAAACCTTGAAGTGTCGCTGCAACAAATTTAGTTAATTAATTAACTACGTCGAATTTAATTACAAGTTTCATTTTTTTTTTCTTGTTATGTAATAAATTAAGAGAGATGAGACGCGTATATATACATTTGTACATATATGTACGTTTTTAATATCATTTCGTTTAAACACATTTTGAAAATATTGAAAAAAAAAAAACAAATATATATAGCACAATAACATAAAACATTTTATAAATATCAGTTTTCATTAAGCATACGAATCTCGTATAATAACTTTTGTGTAAACTGGTTCGACGATTTTTATCTAAATTATTTTCTTGAAGAGGGAATTCGTTTAAATGGCAAGGTGAGCAACGACGACGATTATCTGTTTGTTTTTTCGATAAAAAAAATTGATGACGAGTCTTGCAAAAATTTTAAAATTAATTTCGCGCGCCTCTAATTATTTCAATCTTTCCGAAGGCGCGACGAACACTAACTTTGTTTCCTCGCATTTCCGAGAGAGAGAGAGAGAGAGAGAGAGAGAGAGAGAGAGAGAGGCACGTATATTAAATAATTTATATATAACCACCGAATTAAAAGTTGAAGGATCGAATCGAATCAAGTTTCTCTCTCTATCTGGTCTGTTTAAACAACAGACTTTGCTAATTAACTTAAGCCAATTTTAACTAGATTGGAGCTTCGGCTGTTGAAGCTAAACCAGCATTGACAACTGCTGCGCGAAGTTGCAACTAGATTGCCTTGCAGTCGTCACAAAGCCGAGCGCAAACAATCCAAAGAACTCTCGTCATTAAACCTTACGCGCGGCGAGGCAAGTTTCGCGGTGGCTTGTATAGGTAATTGCGCTGTAGGATTCCGGAGTACTGTAAAGCGCCTTATATAGGCTGTAAACCGGCGATTACGCCGGTCGATACATACACGCAGAGGCGACACACCGCTAAACCCCTCCTCCCCTTCTCGAGCGACAATCTTACGCCTCGCGCACGTAGTTCGTTCGCGATGGGTATTCAATGTGTACTCGATACGCCGTGTAGCGCGCATAATGTCCCGCCGATACATACGTACGTATACACACATAGCCTGTTGTGGCCTGTTTTGACGAACTCTCGCGTGTATCTCGCAAAGTGTCGCGTCGCAGCGACATTCTACGGAACGGGGGCAAAGATACATGCGGGGATGAAGCTCAATCTAGCGTTAAAGCGCGCGCTTTCCGCACGGTTCACGACACATCCTGACGTATCCAGGACTGCTGACGACGAAGTAAAGATCGAAGTTGCTTACAACCATACGGCGTTACACCGGCGTGACATAGAAATTGATAAGAGAATGAATTAACAAGTGTACTGAAACTGAATTTCGGTGAATGACGCGCAGATTAACGCATCAGGGATGCACGGAGATGCGTCTCGCACACATAAATATGTTTTAAAATATATTATCGCGGAGAGAGAATACACGGAGAGAGAGAGCGGATCTAAATTTGCGACAAAATTTTGTTTGAATATTGCACGCGATGTTTCAATTTTGCAAACTAATTTTCCCGCAACGTTCCGGCAATATTTCGCGCTAGAGAGAGAGAGAGAGAACAGGATGTGTACGCGTGTGAATTATGAGATGCTTTCTTTTTTATATTATAATTATTCTATTTTTTTAATTTATCTCGTGTTTTTCGACTTTAAATAAATTTGCTTGAGTGCGAAATTTTGAAGACCGATTATTCTGAGATATGTTGATACATTTTCTGGATTATTTACATTATTGAGGACGCCGCTTCGTTCAATTGCGCGTTGTGTTACTTTTTCCCGGAGTATACGGAGTATATACGGAGTATATACCGGTATATACTCCGTGTTTTTCACGCGACGAGATTACGAGTCCCAGAGAGATGGGAGAAGACGGACGCGCACGTCGCGTCCGCGAATTGTAAGTCTAGACTCTTCCTTTTGTGGATGACAATCCTATCTTCTAGCGAGGCGGTCGTTTCTCATACGCCTCGCCTGCATCAGTGCAACGTCCGATGAAACAGGAGGGAATGAGGGGAGGCAAACGAGGAGGTGGTTGCAAGGTTCAGGACCGCAGTTTGGATAAAGCCGTTTCGGCAGCCAACGCCACGTTGGCAGCTCTCTCTCTCTTCTAGATCCTGTCCTGTTTCGACTCTCAACCGATCTGCAACGCAACCGGATGGATGTGTGACAGCGATTGTCTTTTTTTTTGAAAAATCTCCGCGACAATTTGGGAAATTCCAAATTGCTTGACGAACTACGCCGATGGACGACTGGTTTAAAAATTACTGTTGTTTTTTTAATTGTTGTAATGATACAAAATAAAATAAATAAAATTCAAAAAAAAAAACAAAGACAATCTTTTTCACTTGTCACTGCGTCGTAAATTAAATTTTATGTATATTACACGTTAATAACGATACATTACAAGTAACAGTGATCGCGTAATAGCGTCTCTTTGACGGTAGGTGCCTAAACGTAATGCTTTTGACCTCACACACACGCGTATTACAATTTAGATCGTCGGATGTCGATAACAGAAACGCACCTAAGGGCACTTCGCTTTATTTACAATTTAACGTCGATATTCAGATAAAATTGTAAATATAACGTACCATTACACGAACAAAATTTCTACTACGTATCATGTACGTTTGTGTGTTTTTCTGGGAAAAAACTTCTCTTTTTTTTTTTTTACAAATAATTTTCCGGAAAACCTCTCTTAACCGCGCACCGTTCTATAAATTGTGCAGTTTTTGTTATACTTTATCGTTGAAATCTCTTTTGATCGTGTGCGAAAAAATGCGACGGTTCTTTTTCTTTACAAAACCATATATATATATATATATATATATATATAATGCTGGTGTATATATATATATATGTACGAATATATATATATATATATATGAATAAAAATAATATATACAAGTATAATAAAAATCGCAATAATATAAAATTTTAGAAATTCACACAAGATTATTTTGTAACGGCCAACTTCGGTGTTTTTTTTTTCTCATGAGTATTGGCTTCTATTTAAATAACTCGCTGTTAATTCGAAAACATATGCAAATTTATGACAATGCAACAAACTACATTAACATCGATTGACCGCCATGAACTTTCGCATAGACCAAAGCTGAACGTTACATAAGTCAACACGTCTCCTATGCGAGGTAGAGAGAAAAAACCTTTTGTAATCGGAGAGTTTCTTTTTAGCTTATTCAAAACATCGTTCCTCGTCTTACAGACTTTTATAACAAGTTCTTGGAACTTGTGTATCGAATAACGATATACGCGATACGCATTTTTCCTTTTTTTTTTTTTCATATAGCACAATCTTTAGAACGACTTACACCTCAAGTGTGAGAAACGTATTTGGAAAAAAAATCGGACGCAACCGACATGTTCGATCGAATCGTATTCGATTAAGTTTCAAAGGGACTAGGGGTTTTGACGAAGAACCGCATGCGGCTACGTACCGATTACGGTTTCCATCCTCCGGCGCAGAACGTTGCATCCGGATCGGGTATGGCCCGAACGAGAGGGACGAGGACCATCTCGAGGACCGTTCCGAGATAAATGCGATAACGATCGGACGCCCGGACGAATAACGTCGAGAACCTCAGGACAATGAGATATGTGGAAAAGGTGGCACACACCTCTCTCTCTGATTGAGTCGCGGCAGACTTGATACGGGTCGCGAAAGGGAGGCTGCGAAACTGAGATGAGAGACCGGAGCGCAACCCCCGGTGCGCGCGCGCAGTATCCCCGGAATACACGAAAGCAGCCCGGCTAGATCCAAGGGGGTAACCCACGGGACCGTTTACTCCGCTACTTCTCGAGTCGATGTCAGGATATCCGCAATTTGTCTCGTTATTATTATTATGCGTTAAGTTTTGCGCGAGTTGTGTGCGAAATATCTGCGCACAGAGAAGATTTAATTAAAAAGTTACACATCTGTTAAAATAAAATTTCGCAAATTCTCTCTTTCTTGCTATTTTTTTATTTTATTAATTTTTTTTGAAATTGAATTTTTCAGCTCACCTTACATATCTTTTATTTAAAAAAAAAAAAAAAAAAAAAACAAACAAAACACGTCGCAAAAAAACAATAAAATATACGAAGAACGAGTTTAGACAGTTTTTAAAGATTATTGGAGAATTCCTCTTAGTTTTGCATACTCTTCACGATAGTCTCCATTATATTTTCAGTTATTTATCTTGAATAAAAGATACCTCATGACCTATCTTCACAATGGATCATGAATATTTTTGTAGTCTCTCAGAAACGTATGAATTTAACTACCACTTGTTCCGCTCAACTTGTAGCTTGTGCATAAACTTGGCAATATGTATATTGCGACGAGAAAAAAAAAGTCCGCGTCTCAAATTTGAACGCTAGCGACATCTTCAGGTGCTGCTCGAAATGATGGTGTAATCGCGCGCACACATGCGTGATAGAGAGAGAAGCACTTGTGTATGTAATTGCGCAAATTTGCGCTTGCGTAGAAAAGCGGCCAATCAGAAACTGATCCCGATACGCATCCCGCGAAATTCAAATGAGACATTGTTTTTACACAATAAAATTGAACGTCAAAATTGTTGTCGAGCTTTTCTCCGTTTATGAAAAAAAAAAAAAAACTCATCATCGCAAACGACGCGTGCGAAAGGAAAAAAAAACATTGCTGACGTTGGTTTCCTCAGACTCTTGTTTCAAAAAGTCTGATTACAAGATTGTCAATAAAAATCAGGCGTACTTTTTGCCACCAAATCCGAGCACCTCGAAATGAAACGCTAGTGACATCTTCAGGTGCTACTCGAAATATATGATCGCACGCACGCACACACGCACACACACACACACATGCGCGATGAGAGAAGTCGGTGAGATGTTGAGAATTTTAACACGATAATACGGTATCGCAGGAATCACGCAGAATGGCATGAGGATAGTTGAGAATTTGTACATAGTAATTGTTTATATTTTTCACAAACGCGCTCTCGTCGAGACGCGCAACGATGGCGTCGACTTACATTAAGGACGAAACAGGTAACCGGTTCATTCATCGCGCAATTTTAAGCGCGGCCCCGCACTTGCGGCCGCTTGTGCACCGGTTCTAACCTTGTCCGTGTAAACAAGTAGCAAGAACGATCGGTTTCGTGTAATAATAGATCGTTCTTTCTTAGACGCTATAGTTAGACGATCAGTCTGAGATAGTTTTCATGTGTTACAAACGTCGTGACGCGTGTCCTCGAACGATGATACTTGCGATGGGGTTCTTACACATCTGTTTAAATGGTGTTTTTTAATTTACAAAAACAATACATATTGTTTTATGTAACACAAGTCGTGCGAAGAAGTTTTTTGTTTATTAACACACGTTGTGTTGTGCGTGTCAATGATAATATTTTGTTTTAAAATATACTCCAGATTATAATCTTTATTTTAGGTACATTTATCCCTGCTAGTCAACGACCTGACGGTACATGGCGCAAGCAACGACGTGTAAAGGATGGATATATCCCGCAAGAAGAAGTTCCATTGTATGTTTTTTTAATATTTTTTTAAATATATATACGTCTTTTTATATATTGATTTTCTTTCATATAATTTATTTAAATAATTCTTTATATACTTTACACATCTAATCTTTGTTAAAAAAAACAAATCTTTTATTTTTACTTTTCTTGATAGATACGAAAGCAAAGGAAAGCAAATGACAAAGAAGCCTTTATATCCTGTGGGTGCCAGTCCCGAATTTATTGCGGAACACAAGGCCAAGTTAGAAGCTCTAGCGTCGAAAAACAAAAGTGCAAGCGGCGGGCAAACAAAATCTCAAGAAGGAACCAAAAGAAAGAAAAAGAAAAACAAATCTAAAGCTGCGGAATGTGTGACTGAAGGAGTATCTAAAATAACCATTACGGAGCCTGATTTTCAGAAGGAAGCTTTGCCCCAGAGAAATTCGTATAAGGAAACTCCGTCTCAAAATAATCCTCTGTGCAATGCAAAACAAATCACAACAAACAATATAGTTAAAGATAATCCAAGCAACGCCCAGAAAGCGACATCCGATCCACAGAAGAGATTGAAAAATTTGCGCAAGAAAATTAGAGAAATCGAATTGTTGGAGGAGAAAATTAAATCTGGTGCGTTGAAAAATCCTGAGAAAGAAATACTTGATAAAGTAGCGCGGAAAACAGAGATTTCGAAGGAAATAAGGAGATTAGAGTCTGCTTTATAAAGCAGCCCTTGATCCAATGTGTGTCCAATCAAAATCATGAAATATCCCATCACAAAATCCCTCATCAGTATATATTCTGCATCACACTTCTCTTAGGGAAAATCATCAATTTTCCCTAATAATATTAATGACGTATCTCTTGTATTCAATCTTTTATTTACTCAGTCTCTGTATGAATATTAATCATATTAATATTATACATTTATAGATTGTGCTGCAACATTGGTTATCAACAATTTTAATGTTTGTTCACATATAGATATATATTTGTACATACACACATATATGTATATGCGAGTCAAAAAAAAAAAAAAAAATCACATTCATATACATGACGTGTAAGTTTTAATAAAGATAAACAGAGTTTTCACGTGTACTGAACAAGTTATCTTGTCGTGAACACTTCAGAAAAAAGAAAGAACACAAGTTTTAGATAGATTTATATTAACGATCGAACACTGGGAGATCTGTATATCAAAAAAAAAAAAAAAGTGTTTTTAAAAATGTAAATTATTATGCATTTAAATAAAACTTACAAACTATCCATTTGTAAACATTTGTAGCAATAAAATTGTATAAAAAACATAAGCAGAAAACACTTGCGAAAAATTCTTTTCTGTAGAATTGTTATATCAATTAAGTTTAGTTAAAAGTATTGTTTACAATAGTTTATACAAATCCTTTTACATATATATATATATATATATATGTTAGAAGTTATATATATATATATATATAACTTCTAATGTATGTTATATATTATTTGCGTAATATTTATGGTAAATGATGCGATCGAAGTTTCGAATTTCGCGGACGTGAGTAAAGATGTCGCTACTTTGAGATTAAAGTGCTCTAGTTTTGTGGAAAAAACAGGCTAGCTGATCAGAATTGAAAGTAATTAAAAGTGAATTATGAAAGTAATGGAGGAAGTGATAAAAGGTCGCAACTAATATTATAATCGTTGATACAATTTAAAAGAAGACAACATGTACGAGACATGTTTGTGTACATATTCAAATCTTATTAAAACAAATTGTCACAGTTCTTAACAAAAAAAATTCTTAAGAGCACACTACTTGATGTCGCAGATCATAATGACAGATAAATTATGAAGCTGTTCAAACTCATAGTGCATCAGAAGAATTTTAGCGGGGAGGACTTGATAATCAATCCAAAGGATTACCCCGGAATAAAAACTGGCGATGTTGTTGAGATCTATCATCCCGAAGATGAGTACAGTCGCTTGTTGCTGCAAGTTACCTCCTTCAAAGAGGATCTTCAGGGACGTGAAACTATTAGTGTGGAGAATAACGTAGCGACGATGTTTCAATTGAGAACGTTCGCCGATGTATATATGAACATAGTCAATCCAGACGATGTGGCTTTAGATTCTATAGAGTTGACTTTTAAGGATCAGTATATGGGACGTAGTGAGATGTGGCGTCTGAAGAACAGCTTGGTATTGCATTTCTTTTATATTTTACATCTAGATTTTTTTTACACAACTTCTGTTGTATATGTTTTGTACATAATATAGAGATACATTTTTTTAATGTTTTCAGGTAAACACTTGTGTTTACATCAATAAGAAAATAGAATTTTGTGGTAGCAGCATAAGATGTCAAGTATACGAAATGTGGTCGCAAGGTGATCGTGTTGCTTGTGGCGTTATAACAGACGATACTAAAGTTTGTGTACAAATTGTATTATTTATTATATTTATAAATGTTTATCTGTATCATGTAAGTAAATCTAATTTATAGGTAGTCTTTCGATCTTCCACTAGTATGGTGTATCTGTTCATTCAAATGAGCTCAGAGATGTGGGATTTTGATATACATGGTGATCTTTATTTTGAGAAAGCAGTCAATGGATTTCTGGCTGATCTATTTCAAAAATGGAAGAAGAATGGCAGCAATCATGAAGTTACGATTGTACTATTTTCGAGAACATTTTACAACGCGACTAATTTGGAAGAATTTCCAAATCACATGAGGGAATGTCTGCAACATGATTACAGAGGCAGATTTTATGAGGATTTTTACAGAGTTGCGGTGCAAAATGAAAGATTTGAGGATTGCAGTAATGTATTGGTACAGTTGCGTAAACTGTTTACTGATTATCAAAAAATCGTTCTGGAATATCATCAAAAATTAGGTGTTGCCATGCCTAAGGCTATAAATTCAACCGCTGCACAAGGAAATTTTCTGGAAGTGTTAAATATGTCATTGAATGGTGTGAAAAACATTTGAGAAAACAAAACAATCAAAAGATTGTACATAAATTTTAAATTTGTTTACTTAAAATTAAATTGTGTGTTTTTTTTATAGTTTTCGAAAAGCACTACTTGGATCGCAGTTTTGACAGAACTGGTCAATTATCTGTGGTAATTACTCCTGGAGTTGGAGTTTTTGAAGTCGACAGAGAACTGACAAACGTAACAAAACAAAGAATTATTGACAATGGTGTAGGCAGTGATTTGGTATGTGTTGGAGAACAACCACTGCATGCAGTTCCATTATTAAAGGTATCATAAATATGTTATAAAACTTTTGCATAAATAATAATATTTTCTTCGTAAAGCGATTCTCTAATATATTTTATTCATATTCCAGTTTCACAACAAAGATTCTTCCATAAACGCGCCAGATGACTACAGCATGCCACATTGGATAAATCTCAGTTTCTATTCCACAAATAAAAAGATTCCCTATTCCACGTTTATACCACGCATAAAGCTACCGCAGAAAGTATCAAAACACTCCATGGACAATGGGAAATTACATTGTAAAACCAGACTTCTGCAAGAAGATCCAAGAGAATATCTGCACAATTCTTTGTTCGATTATGACGCTTATGATGCACAAGTGTTTCAGTTACCACCAGTACATAGTTCAAAGTAATTTAAATTATTTGCACGACTAATATAATTTGCTGAATTATTTAATTCACGTAAAAGTAGCGTGTACACTTTATTGTCATTTCTCTTCACAGTGTACAAAGGATAAGTACAAGAACAAAGAAGACAAGCGTGGCGTGTCTTGAAACGCACAACAACGGTCATTTGTTGAAACTTCTGAAACGTAAAATGTCCGATCCCGACATACATCATCCCCCACCGGAGTCACACTTACCGCCGGTTGCGTTAAGAAGCGCGGCGATAACGATACCGCACAAAACGGATGATGATAATAGCGAATCTAATGAAGACAGAATTGGTACGCGTATAAACATGTTATAGTTTCTCTTCAAAAATTTATTAAGTAATCGCGATAATTTGTATTGTTTCAGGTACTTCCAGGACACCGGTTAAGAGCGATCTAACCGATTCGGAGATATCTCCGCCCTTTAGACCTGTCGTCGGCAGCGCTGGTAGTCCGACAAATTCCATTTCTCAACCCACTAGTATACTTAGACCTAGCAGAGCACTGATCAATCCTTTCGATCCATCGCACGTTACCATTAAACTCACCAGCAACAGACGGAGATGGACTCATATATTCCCTAAAGGTAAAATTATCTATTTTTGATTTCTATTAAGAATTAATATTACAGATCGCAATATAATCTTATCATGACGAACCTTAGGACCAACGGGAGTGCTAATACAGCAACATCACTATCAAGCCGTTCCAACGCAAAGCTCGGAATTACAATGCGATGCTACTTCGTCGACTGTAAGTGGTTCCCCGTTGGAACTCGGAGTGAGCAATTCAAATCAGATGTCAAGATCAGCGTCTCAAATAGGATTTCAAGATCGTCAGTATATATTGAGTATTACTTAAAACAATTTTAAGAGAAATTAAAAAAAAAAAAAACAATAAATTCTGTCATTTTTTCTGATGCAAAAGGAAAGTCATCGCGCCTCAATTCTTCAATTAACGGCGATAAAGCTGCAAATCCTTCATCTATTACGAACAAAAGTCTGACTCTTTTGTGGGGCGCGACTGGTGAACAAGAATGGACACCCGTTCTAACAACAGGTTTGCTCTTGTACTTTTTGAAATAATTTTTTTAATACTTTTAGTCTTTTTGATTATATGAAAGGATCAGATGTTTAACATATGATATAATAAGCTTGAAAAAAAACGTAACAAAGTTATCGATTTGCTGTGATTATTAAGCTTACAATTTATAAAAGAGAGAATTCTTTTAATAATACGAGGTTTTAAAGGTCATTTTAGATTTGATCGAATGTGACAAAAATTTCTTACATAACACACACAATTCCAATATCCAACATCCACAAGTTTTTATATAATGCTTCTCGCGCGTTTGTGCTTTGATGTATCCAATTTTGTGATTGCATTTCTTTACATCATTGGTCAATTATTACACAATCAAGCAACATACAAATATATTTCATATACATCTGTATGAGAAAAAAAAATATTTTTCAAAACAGATATTTTCATTCCTCCAAAACAAAATCGATGCGTTTATTGTTACAAGACCATCGAATGTCAATTACGAAAAATAATGTTGTTACATTTATTTCCATGCTATGGTACGTCTAATTGGGATGCAACGCTGGACGCATACGTTGTGTGATACGTGTGTGATGTACAACTATGATGTCACTTGCGCTGTTTTACAGCGATCATAGGTTAGCGCCCATACAATATTAGGGATTGATTCGGTTATGGTATACATTTGTTCATTTTATATATTAGGAACACGTTAGCTCGAAAAGTAGAATTTATTTTTCACACTCTGTCAAATAGTTCTTCAAGTTTAATAGTTCTTCACAATTCATCACAATTATTTGTCTTCATCTTGTCTCTCTACACGTTGCATGTATATGTGTAGTGTAATAATCATCTCTCTTGTGCAATCTAACAAGCTTAAGGATGTACATACAATGAATTTTCACACATCTTTAAATTTGTTTTTTTTTTAAGTGATATAAAACGCACATTCTTTCAATTCTCAAGCTACTTTTTTGTAATTAAAATTTGATGTTTTTAGCTGATAAATATATAGCTTCTCGTTACAGCTTTTTTCCCCCATTTATCGCATAAGCTGCTTAATTGTTCTATGACGAGTATTTTACAAATTGCTCTGTTACAGCTTGCCGTTTGTTAGAATTTATAATCTAAAGTAAACAGCTTGTACCTTCTCGCAAATATATTAATGTTATTTTCTCTGTATATTTCCCATGTGCTTTTTTCCTCACTGAGAGAGCGTTGCAATATTAATCCTTGCTAAGTGTTGGTGTACTTAATCTCGATTTTACACACTCACATTGAAGTCTCTCTCTCCACGATATAGCACTCTAGTAGATGCTTATTATTTTATATTCTCTCTTTTTCTGTACGTCTCTACAAAATAATCCAGTAATTTTTTATCGTACAAAATATGATAAATAAAAATCTACCGTGGTTCTTATATATGACTTATAATAACACACAATATATTGACACATTTTACTCGTGAAATATATATGTTACAAGCACATTTGTATATCTATACATGTAATTAATAATTGTTAAATGGCATGCATTTGTACGCGTTTAATCTTTATCATATAAATACTTTTATCATATAAATACATTACTTTTTAAACACATTATTGTTGTATTGTGTTTATACTTGAATTTTATATGCAATTTAAATGATGTGTAGTAGAAATAATATAATTTACATATGATAAAGATTAAATTACATATACAGAATATTCCAAAACAAGTTCAAAGTACGTTTTTTTTTTTTTTTTTTTTTTTGTATACTTTGTAGACATGGAAATTGACTTGATAATAAATTTAGATTATTCTTGTAAAAATAATTTCAATAATTTCTCAAATATTTTTACTCTATCTCCGATATATACATATGTCTTGTACATCGCTTTTTAGAACATTCTGTATAACAAAGATTATTAGTAATACCTATTCACAAAGAAAACTATTTTTTTTTTTTTTTTTTTTTTTTTGTATCGGTAGAGGGTGATATCGAGAAGCTAGTCGAGTGCTTTCTTAATCAATTCGATTGTTTTGTTTTTAATTTTGCTCGAACACAGGAGTGGACTGGAAATCGTTAACGATTCCCGCGTGCCTGCCCATTACTACAGATTACTTTCCAGACAAGCGGAGTTTGCAAAACGACTATGTCGTGTCGGACTACAATCTTCTTCCGGACGACGTGAACGCTGATTTCGCTCAACAGCGAGCGATATACAAAAAACCGCTTACAACCGTTGAAGTATTTAAAGAGCTGGTTTCACAACGCTTAGCTCAGGTAACGAACAAAAAGTGTATATAATTTTCTACATTTACTTTTATATCGTTGTATCTATGTGTTAAGAAATAATCACGCGAATATTGGGTTTTATCAAGGGTTTTCAGCTAATTATATTGCCGTCGATGAGTAAGAATCAAAGCAACACGACCGGGAGCAATTCCGCTCCCGCTATTAGCACAGTAATACGCGGCAGACAAACCGAGTCCGAGCCAAGGGAAGAATATCTGCTCAGCATCGGAAGGATTTTTCATAAAATATCTTTGTTCGATAATTCTATTACGGTTACGAGATATCGTCCGCGGTAAATATCTTTATTAAACCAAAAAGTCTTTTTATACCAATTAACTCACTTCACTGTAATAACCGCGCGTTTACAGACATCCTTATCCACCTTTCAACATCCACTATCGATATCGATTTCACGCGCCGCATCACGACACGTACGAGGTGTCGTGGGTGTCCTTCACCACGGAGAAACTCGAGACGTACAACTGGAATTATCTGGACCATTACATTTGCACGCGAGGTCATACCGATTTTGCTTTAGTGGAAGTGAGTGAAGATCCGGTTCTTGTTTTTTTTTTCTTGAAAAGATAAAAATTCGAACTTTAGACGCGCGCAATGTTTCATTTTATTTTATAGGCTCTCAAGTATTGGAGATTTCGAGTATTTCTGTTACCACTGCACAATCCTGCTACTCGCAAGATTCTGGAAGGCTCTCCGAGATGCGACATATACACTCCACCCAGTAACGCTGAACAAGCGTTACTGATGGACGGTTTTCTGCGCTTCATCGAGGGCTGGTTGAATAAAATACGACGGCCAAATCCTAACAAAAATTGGGTAACCTTTTGCTATTTTTCAAATTTTTAGAGTAGATATATAGAGAGGCCAGATTAACGAATCTTCAATTATTATACTAAGAATTTTAATTAATCTAATTTTAATTAATACAAATTAACTGTAACAATCATTAGGAGACGTTCCAAAAAGCAGTTAGATTTTACAAAAAAACAACAAGATTTCTTAGTTTTATTATTTCGCTTGAGAAAATGTCAAGAGACTCGAAATGCGTACTGTTGATATACAAATCTTTTTGGAACATCCCGTTATGTACTTATAGATACTTGACTCGCAGTTGTTCTCTATTCTACTTGCAACGTAATACTTATATTTAAAAAAAACGCTTGATAGTTTTTGTTGTATAAATATTGTGCTATATTTGAGGAGTTATTCTGCACTTTTTTTTTTTTTTTAATACAATATTTTTGAATCAGCGAGATGTAACCAAAAAAATTCTCAAACGCGCGCGCGCAATCTTTTTCTTTCTGTGAAAAAAAATTAATTTTTTTCTTTTTTAGAATATCTCCTCCACACCATACTTGAATGTTGCATGCAATTTGATTGATTTTGCGCAGATTTATATTTTAATGCTTTTATTACAGTTATTATTTTACATTTTGTTAACTTCTGAATTATACACACAATTTCTGTCGGTGTGAATTTAGCAAAACAATATGTAAAATCTTGTTGTATAAAAATAACGATATCCGACAATCTAATTTTTTCAGTTGTAGATATAAAGCATTGATAATATGCTGTATAACATACTGAAAAGAATTTTAAATATATATGTATATACATATATATATATATATATATATATTCAAGATACACATACGATTAGGCGACTAAAATCAATGCACGGCTTTTTATGAAGCTTCTTTTTACACACTCTTTACATTTACCGTCAGCCGTAACATTTGTACAATAGCAACATTCAGCAGTATTAATTTTACTTATCTTAACGATATAATTTATATATATATATATATATATATACTATATATACATACGTGTGTACGATCGTTCCGAAATACATATCAAAGTATCTGTAAGACACGTGTCCGTGGCAGACAGATAGAGTTAGTTGTAAAAAAAAAAAAATTGCGTCAGATAAAAAAGTACGCGCAATACAAATAGGAGTCTACAGTTTTTCAAATATATATATATGTTTACGTTTGCGAGATATATAGAGAAACTTGTAGGTGGAATGTAGGTGGGAAGGGGTATTCAGCATGATATGTTTCAGAGCCCCACAGCTCTAGGTGGTGTTCCCCCAAGAGATCCTGCCTCTCATTTGACCAGACGCAGGCACAGCACGAGCCTGATATTCCTCACTAACCAACAGGTACACATCCCCCCTTCCTGTAGCCTCGGTATACCGAGGGCATTCCGATATTTACTGCCAGTACAAATACACACATTTATGGCTTTTCTGGTACTGGCAGTGAATCTTGAAACACAGAGCCTGAGAGAGTTCATGAGATGCTCTCGAATTAATTAAGATTCTCTCTCTTTCAAACGAGCTTTTCCGACTAAGTTAATTACGAGCAGGAAAACGCTAATAAGAAAAAAAAAAAAGATCTCCTATTCTACGTACTTACACATTACAATTTCAATTTTGTACAACGTGAGACGGAGTAAATTTGCAGCAGGATGAGAGTGTGAACAAAGAGATTTTTCACACTGGTGGTTGTTGTCCCTTCAGAAACTTCATTTGTTCGGAAGTTGCGCGTAGAGTCTCTTTTGAGAAGACTTGTGCGAGTTTTTTTTTTTCTCGATCTTGATTTTGAGCGACACCTGATACAATTTTGCTCCGTCATTCTCACGGCAATCGTCAGACGTAACTGAGTTTTTTTTTTTTTTTAATAGAGAAAAAAAAAAGAATCGCTTTTCTTTGATACGTGTTACTTGGAATGATCAGGCGCCGCTTACACAATACAATATTATCACGATAATACTGTGATCGTGCTTGATATTTATGCGTTGGATGTGCATCTATGATTTTAGCGAGCTTATCCGTTTATGCGTGAGATGTTACGATGTTTTGAGATTTACACATTTTTTTCTCTCGTTTTATATATATATATATATATGACTTATTAATGCCTTTTTACATACGAGTTCAATACTTTTCAACGTTGAACGTCGTTAAAATTAGACATATATATATATATATACATATATATATATTCTCACGATCATCAGCTTCACCATTTAACATTCACAGTTACCCATACATGTCATCATACTTTCCAGCCCAGTCTAGTCAGCAGTTCTCCTTTCAGGGAGCGACTCGGGAGCAACCGTGTGCCAGAGAAACCGAGACCAAGGTTTGAACATGAACTACCTTGATGATTTCAGCATTGTTGCTTTGTGCCAAATTTTTAACAGTGTAGTTTTGCGATATTTATTTTATTTTATTTTTATTTTCAGTGAATTATTCCAAATTGGTGTTTTTTTCTCGATAGTTTGTTTGTGCTTGGTTCTTTATTTCGAATTTTTGTTTTTTTTTTATTTGTTAGAACAAGGACACCTACATCATAATAATGTGTGAACGCTTATTTTTTGTGCAGACCGCATTGTTTTACAATTTCAGCGTACGGTTTTGTTTTTAATATCTTACATGCTATTATTGTACTTATATATTTCTAACATAAAAAAAAATGCAGTTTTGTGTAGTAAATATGAGACAACGCAGTTGTGTAAAATAAACGCAATGACGATATATATGGCAGCGGTAACATTTCATTAATGCTTTGCCGGAAAATCAAATTGACATCAATACATTTAATAATACGTGTATTTGCGTGTGTGCGTGTGTGCGAGTAAATCGAATAATGTGAATTTCTATTTTTAAAAATTCTTCTCTGGTGACAGGAATCAATAATAATCTCATAAAAGATTCAGGCACAACTAAAACATGCACCGGCGTTTCACACAAACTCCATTATGTATATACGATGTTTCACTGAATGTTTTATTTCATCATTTTATTTATCCCCGCACATGTTTACACGTGTATACATATTTTAGACATTTGTTTTATATAAATTTTATATATTTTCTAAGTATATGTGTGTACATTATTTATATATATGTGTCGCTGCACTACACACACACATACAGGAAACCAATAACGCTTTCGACTGCGATAACATAAGTTGTACTTTTTCCACACTTTTTACTATGAGCTGATCGTGCGCTTTGTTATAACGCAACCGCCGCGACACTCTCTCGTCGTTTATTATTAATATTTCTCTAATGTGTCCATTCCGTGGAGCAGGTACGACGCATTTAGGAGGAAAGTGCGAGAAAAAGTCCGAGAGGAAACCTTGTACCATAGTTTCTTGTATCTTTCAGCTTCTTTCATCTTTTTTTCTGTTTGTCTCTTCTGGCTAAATAATACACACATATATATATATATATATATATATATACATATATATACATATATATATATATATATATTACATATCGGACAGAGCATACGTACAACGTGTCGTGAGTAAACAAATTACAATGCGTGTGTGTGTGCGTGCGTGTGTGCAAAAATTGTTACAACGACACTTCTACCTATGCTCTGGATCGTAGAAGATTTGGTAGTGAGTGAGGGAGTGACGGGGTTGCTCCTCTGTACAGGAGAGGCATGTAATGAATACCGCTGCGGCTGCTCGCACGTGCCTCGACACTCCTCGCCACGTGCCAAACAGGTTGGTCTCATTTCTCTTTATTCCTTTTCGATTCAGATTAACTCTTTGCGGTCCAAATTTGTTTTTCGACGAATTAACCAACAACGCTAAGTTTTGCACTCTTATTTTTTTTTTTGTTTGTTTTTGTGTGTGTTATTAGTTGTTTCTTATAATATAATATGTTTTATTACTTACTAATGCGGAGTTTTTTTTTTAGTTTTGAAGAATTTTATGCAAAAATTGTTCTTTTTTTTTTTGTGTGTGTGCAAACGTCTGTGTAACGTCGAGAATCCATCTCGACCGGAAAGGGTTAAAAAATGCGAAACTTCGTCCGTGTACATATGTCGAATCGTTAAAAACGCGCGCTTTTTACATCAGCTCTATCTATTTTTATACAAACGCTCCGATTCGTTGTATTTTTTTTTTTTAGTCGGAAAGTTGAAAAAGAACAGGGATCCGAAAAAGTTTTTCTTAATTTTGTTATTTTACTTTTTTTTCATAATTTTATACGCGGGAATAATGAAATATAATATAAAACTTAATAATATAATACTTGCATATGCATATATATGTGTAACAACAATGAACCAACCTAGAATAGTATCATTTGTAATTAAAAAAAAAAAAAGAAACGCGCGTGGTATCATTTTCGTAGTAAAAGTTTTAATTAATTTGCTGAAATAACATAAAGGTGTGGGAAGAAATTTGGTTTTTGCTTCTTCTAAATAATTTACAAGTATATCGCGCTTGTGTAAGTCGCTAAACATCGTCTTTCTGCACTCGCGATTACTTAACAAATAGTTTTTCTTTTTTTTTTACGCGCGATTCAGATCGGGCTCCAAGGTAATGGACAGAGGACGTGTGTCGCCTGCCAGTGAGGCCGTTTTGCCACTGTCGATCGAGCAACAACAGCAAGATCACTTCGACGCTAACGACGATAGGTACGAACATTCGTAAAATAAAAATTTATCGATAGAAAATACGTCAATGTGCCGTTTGATTCTTTTTTTGAAAAATGTTTGTCGCATTTACAAATTTTCTCTTCGAACAAGCACAAGACGTATAAATGTTTGAAGTGCAATTGTTTTTTTTTTTTATAAACGTTGCAAAACTCATTCTGCATTACAGTTCGAACATGGAACTAACGAAGATAAAGAGCAACGCGACGAACGTGGAAATTCTGGAGGCGATGAAGCATCCTCAAACTGGCGTCGGTTTCTTAACGCAACATCCCTCACTTCCGAGTCAAACATTCGTAAGCGCCGACGCGATTCAATGGCTAAACAATCACATCGAAGGCGGCGTGGGAGTCGAGCAGGGCATCAACATCATGAAGGGAATGATTCAAGACAAATTGATATGCCACGCGTCCGGCGATTTTTCTCAACCATTCGTTCTGGGATTTTATTTGTATCATATTGTGCAAGATAAAGAGAATCAGAAAGGTAAAACGACGTGACCCGAATATCATATCCGTTTATACAATTCGCGGTCGTCTAAAATTGCTTTCTTGATACACAGCCGCGGATTATTCCGCTCCGCTTGGTGATCTCCAAAGCTTTGAGAACGAGTGGGTGGAGGTGGAGATGAGATCGCCGAAGGGATGGTGCGAACCGATATCGTCGACAACATTGTCAACTATGTCGACCCCCATAACTATTCCCAACTGCGACACCATTGACGAATCCAACGTTCCAGCCTTTCTGAGAGACGACATCGACCTGACGGAACCGATGGATGATAAAAATTGGACGGGTAGGAGATCAACCAAGATATTATAAATCTATTTCGTTGGCGGGGGGTGGCTGAACGAATTAAAAAAAATCTCTCTCAACGTTTTTATTTTCAGTGCCATTGTACAAGCACACTCATCTCGATATCGATATTAACAACAAGAGCGACAGGATCGAATGGGGTCACTTGAGGTATCAATCTATTTACAAAGTAGATCATTCCTACGAACTCGTAGTACAGTGGGTGGCATCGTCTGGCAGTATAGTCGCCGATCTGGTGGGTGTAACAATTTATCTCTCCTTCTCTCAATCTTCTCTTCCTCAGCAAGACAAAGATACTGAATTTTGCCAATTAATTTCCTTCCCAAGATATTCGTTTGGCAACGCAAGGCTCAAATGTGTGGGATACAGATGGTGCCCATTCCTAGTGATTTACTGGCACTGCCGTACACCTATAAGAGCGATCCTCTCAGAGGACCGATATTTATACCACTCGATACGGAATGTCTGATGGAGAATAAACGATATCTCTTTGAAGGTTTGTGATTCCCAAATCCGATCCGTTATTGCTCTCGTCATTGCGATCGTTTATTTTCGCAACAAAATCGCGGTATATATCTGTTCGCAGAATTTCGAGAAGACACGTACACGCAACGACTGTTTCTATTCCAAGAAGCGATTCTGCAGAGATTCGGTTTCGTGCCGTGCTTGATCGAAAACACCGAGAATGGTCACCAGTACGTTCATCTCACCGGCAACGCGTTCATATTGGTGCCATCCACCACAAATACTCGACCGCGTCCGCGCACCGGCACCAACGTCGTGCGCCGAAATGTGGGACAGAAGAGATATCCGGTTCATCCCGATCAGCCCAGTCCACACGAGGCTTACATCACCAGACACGTCAGTGGAAAGAACAAGGACGATCACAGCATGGACCGAAAAGTGAATATTTCATTTGCTTTGCGGCGATTTTGTTTTTCTGAAAAAAATTTGACGTACATACTTTTTTTTTGTCTGAACGACGATGTATCAATTTTCCAGATGGGTTTCTTGTGGTCTTGGAATCACATGGTCAGTCGTAAGTGGAAATCCACCTCGGCGGGTGACGAATTATTTCAGAAGAAAATCATACAGGACTTTCGTCATTTCTGTTCCAACGGCGACAACAGACTCAGACAATTTTGGGAAACTTGTTGGGAGATAAAAGAAAAAACTTGTACAAAAGCAAAATAGCAAGATATTATTTTTTAATAGGTTTTTAAATTCGTCCAAAGATTTTTATCGAGTTTCACGGATGTGTGTATCACACGCATAGACTGTGTAAATTCATCATCGTTTGTCAATAACAAATTTATCGATAGTACAATTGTGTGTATGTGTATATGTGTGTGCGTGCCATTCTGTAGAAACTAAACGTATATCACGTCGATGCGGCACTCGATGTTTTTTTTTTCGCGTTCTAAATAGATCCGCGGAATCGAATTTGTTGATTTGATAATCAACGGATTGTCGTGGTGCTCGCGATCTGACGGAAAGAAAAGCGTCGCGTGCCGCAGGCTTTTTTAGCAGGATAATAAATATGCGTGTATAAAAAATTGTGTACGTCATTTATGATTAAGCAAAGAAAATACTGCGATTATTGTACGTTATGTTTCCAAGTGAAAAGACGGAAATTGAGATATTTTTAAATTACAAAAAAAAAAACAACGCGTCGAAAAAGAAAAACGTTTTTTTTATTCCATGCTATTTCCTCTACTCTTTGCTCTAATCCATCTAAATCCATTTTACACTTCCGATTATTTGTTCGTCGTTGCGCGCGCTTTTTTTATTTACTTCTCTTTTCGACGTTAACATTTTCAACGTGCGCTCTTCTGAGGGATTCGCTATTGTTATCCGACAAAAAGTACAGCATCGCGATCTCATCATGGATGAACCTTTGTACGTAAATGGCTTCTCAAACATATCGCGCGACTTTTGCGAGATCGTTCACGCGCGTTATTGAATCCCTCGAAGCCTCGGAGTTAATTATGCGTCGCGTCGAACGTAATTCGTGATCGTCCGTGTTGTCGAATTGAAACAATTTTTCGTGAAAAAAAAAAAAATCGCAAGCATGCTCGATAATAGTGATAACGGCGACAGCTGGAAGACGGAAATCGATGACACTCACCGATTCGGCCGCGGAGATTGTCCGCACGCGCAAAGAAAAATCGTTCTCGTCGACAAGCCCGTTTGTTCCTGCGAGATTTACAAGGATGCAACTACGGCGCGAGTCGGAGACTCGAGATCCGGTCACGAGATTCGGTACGTCGGTCCCGCGACGGAATCGGTTAGCAACGAGGAAGATTACAGGAGCGTTGCGCAGATTTTTTGCGGATCTACGAGCGAAGGTGTGGTTTGCGTTGTAAATTAAATAATCAAAAAAAAAAAAATGTTTTCCGTTTTCACAACTTTGTAAATTTAAACAAACAAAGAACATTTTGAATCTTTCGATCGAAACGCGTTTACTTTCTTTTTATCGCAGGAAACAATAGGCCGGTGATCGATGCCGGGGATGATGATCGTCGCAATTTCAATTTGCGTTCGTTCGTTGATTTATCTCTCGCTGAAAAAAAACATGACGCGACAACGAACGATCGTTCGATCGGGGATCCGGTTAACGCACCGGCACAAAACACCTATAGATGTTACGCCTCGTCCCTGACAGACACCGCGTTGTCTTCCTCCGAATCGTTAACAGCTCGATCGTCGACGGACGCTTCATCGAGAACGACCGCGCGAGTAGAACGACGATGCAAAATCGTTAATGTTTCGGCGAACGACGAGTCGAAGAGAGACAAGTATAACATAACGCGTTTGTTAACTTTTCTATTTAATTCTAATTCTGGAACCTTTGGGTCTTTTTTGTTCGGCACTTTTCAAAAAAACTGTCTTAAAAAAATAATCATTCGAGATGAATTACGCGTCGGATCCGGTGGTTGACTTTTGGGGGTGTAAAAAAAAATACCGGTAGGGAATTAAGGTTAAAATTTATTATGTATCGAAACACATAAACAAAATTGCGTAACGTCGCAGATATGTTCAGAATAATCGGCAAATTGTTCGAATCTCCGCGTCGTCGCCGTCGGTCGGTTCGAGCGTCGGTGACAATCAGATATCGAACGGACCCGATCTCAGAAAAAGAATCGCCCACTCGGAGTGGGTCCGCAGGAAGCGGGAGATCGCTCAGCGAAGGAAAGAAGATGAGGAACGCGCGGCGAGAAAGCGACGCGAGGAGGATGAGAAATTAGCGCGGGAAAAAGAGGAGAGAGCGAGATTGGAAAAGGAGAACTTTCTCAAGTGGATCGAGAGGAAGAAGCAGGAGGAACTTAACCGAAAGGCGATGCTCGAGAACGAATTGGAATTGCAGAAGCGTCTGAAGGAGATCGAGGATAAGGCCGCCATCGCTAAGGTGCTGAATCTTCGTCAGTGGATTCGCAAAAAAGAGGAGGAGCAGAAGGGTGCGATGATACACACACACACACACACACTTGTCGCGCGCGAAAACCTGCCGTGTGTCTCTTTCTCAATCCGCGCGAAGAAACGGTAATAAGAACTGATTGCGCTCTTTTGCAGCTCGGAATAAGGAGCGGGAAATGAAACAGAAGAAAATAAACGAAGAGCGGGAGAAGAGGTTGCAGGAGAGCTTGAAGGCTTACGAGAAATGGAAAGAGAACTCGAAGAACAAACCGAAACCGGCCACCCAAGGACTGCTTCGTACGTTCGAAAACACAATAATATAAAATAATAATAATAATAACAATGTAAATATAATAATATAAAAACGATAATAATGAATATAAAAGATGCATGAGAGAGAGAGCGTGCGTTATCCCGCCCCGTGCGTTATTATCGCAAAATATGATAGCTTCCCTGTTGATATAATTAAAATAAATTGAGATAAAGTATCCGCAAATTATAATTAAATTATAATTACACACAGGTAGCTAAAATGAAAATAACCTTCGTTATTTATATACCGCATCGTCGTATTAAATATGAACGAACATTTATTCTAGCTCATCAGAAGGCGAAACCGGCGTACGTAAATCCGATTCCGTGGCAACCGATAGTGGAAAATCATTCCGATGAGGAACAAGAGAACGTGTTTAAGGACAAAAAAAGAAATAAGAATCAGTTAAACGACAGAAAACCGATCGCGGCGAATCACTGACTTGAGATTTGGTAATTGTCACGTGCGATCCAAAACACGTTGTTTCAGTTTTAAAAGTTATTTGATTACAAGAATTTTTTTTTTTTTTTTTTTTTTTAGCGTAGCAAATTTATTAAAGAGGCGAGAATCTTGCTTGTTACGTACTTGCAACAAAGCATCTTTTTCAGCGGCGGTCAAACGACGAGACGTTTTAATTACAAAGTTGCGAGAAAAGTGATAATGATTAGCCGTGTGAAATTTTTTTTTTTGTTGTTTTTCGACGCGACACACACGGCGAATTTTCATATTTGTTTTTTTGCAAATATAAGGATGTTATGCGAGGATAATAAGAGAGATAACACGTTTTAATCAAATATATATCAATTTGATTGAAGTGACTTTAATGATATAGGTTTGTTCACACGTTTAATGACAACCTGTGCTACATAATACAAAGTATTTGATTATAACAAAGACAAAGCGGATCTCGTGACTTTGTAATCTGTGTATTTCTCTCTCTCTCTCTCTCTCTCTCTCTCTCTCTCTCTCTCTCTCTCTCTCTCTCTTTCTCTCTCTCTCTCTTTCTCAAGTTATCAAACTATTACACCTTCTCAGCGCGTCCCTCTACCGCGAGAAGAACACACCTATTATTTTTTGTAAACCGTGTTAATAGTATATATATATATATATATATATATATATATATATGTATGTATATGTATATATATATAGTACGAGAAATATCGTGAGAGCTTCTCATCGTCTATTTGCCATACGCGTAAGACACATTTTTCTTCTTGGACAATAAGATCTCCTTCTTCTTAAACAAAAAAATGTTTTCAGCTTGCTTTTACTCGCTCGCTCGCTCGCATTACTCTCGCGCGTCAACCACATATTTTTTTTATATATACAATATATCCACAACACTTCCGCATCCTTACAAAGCACATTCTACCTTGTAGAATTTTTTTTTTTTTACAATGGAAAATGGCAAAAATTTCCGACAATCGAGTGTGTTTGTGTTTGTGTGTGTGTGTGTGTGTAGCCGAGAGCAGGATTTGGGTGTAATTAATCATTTTACGTATATGTGTACGTAACAATCGTATATGTAGTTTTTTTTTTTTATGCGCGGTAAATATTGCTTTTTATACATTGTATTATTATTTTCTTAGTATTACTTAGTATACACATGTGTACACACGTAACTTACAATCTACGCGCTTTTTTGCGTTCTTCACGTAGTTCTCGCTGTGATCCGATTTTTTTATTTTTATTTTTTTTTATTTTTTTTTATTTTTTATTTTTGGAAAAGGGAAAGGCAACGAAGCAGCGATCTGTGAAGATGTAAATGCGAATGTGTGTATGTGTGCGTGTGTGTGTGTGTGTGTATTAACAGCGGCGATAGTACTTTTTTTTTCTTTGTCCGTTGCTTAACGCAATTATTCTAAACCGATCGATCACGATGTCGGCTGTGCGATATCTCGTTACGGCTCCGACGTTAAAAAATTGACCTCCACGTTCATCGTACACGACGGAAAATAAATATGATCTTTACAATGTAGCTCTAGCGAAGACTTTTTTTATCAATGTATTTTGAATTTTAGATTCCCCTCTCTCTTTTTTTCTTTCTTTCTCTCTTTCTCTCTCGATGTCACGCGACTTTGGAGAAAATACTGGTCTAAAGAATCGATATGTGTAAAAAATTTCTTTTGCAAACTCGAGTACTATATTTTCGAAAACACATCAACAAACGATATTTAAAAATATCGTAAACTTTATTTTTTTCAATTTTTTTCTGCCTAATATGATTGAAAGAATTAAAAAGCGCAACAAAATATTTTCAAAAAACATCAACAAACGATACTTAAAGATATTGCAAAATTATTTTCTTCATTTTTTTCCACTTAATACGAAAGAATTAAAAAACAACAAAACCCCGAAGAAAAGAAAACGTTTGAAATATCCTTTTGACTCATCTCAAAGATTATGCTTAACGTTACAAAGTAAAATTCTCTATCTCACACTTGGTGTTTTTAATGTTATTATTTGATAATAAAATATTTCACACAGGAAATATATTCGTGGCCTAACATCACAAACATTTTTCTTCAATCGATGGATCGTCCGTGTGTTGCATCACAGCTGGGATCATTGCGACTAAAATTCCGTAAAGACGATTATCGAAACTTGGATGGAAAAATCGAAATAAATTTACTTCGGCGTAACACATCGACGATGTACTAGAAAAATATCGCACAATATATATTCATGTGTGTGTTTTTTAATATACTATATATATATATATATATATTATATATATATGTATTATATATGCGTCCACACGTGTGTGTTCTTTTAAATCTTTGGCTCTGTATAGGCTGTTTATATCAAGTATAAAAGTTCATCGGACTCTCTAATACGTATATATACATATTTATATGTATTTATATATATATGTGTATTTATTAGACACTGTGTATTGCATCCAAAAAATAAACGAATCTATCGCGTTTGATTCCCGACTCTTTACGGAATTTTTTCACGACTGAAGAATGTGGAAGAGATCGAATCGCGCAATATGTAATAATATTTTTATAAGCCTTACAGGTTACACCCTAAATTGTTTTATCTCAATTTTGGTAAACCGCGTGATTCTCGGCACAGTATATTACGTATAGTATTGTCTCCGATATTGTTAGTCGATAAAAAATAAATGTTCAACAAATGTGCAATGTTTGCACGATATTATTAAAAAAAAAAAAATAATAATAATAATAATAATAACTCATTACTTCGCATCGCATGATTGTGTAAATTAAATTTTCAAGTTTTAAAACAAGACGCAGCGCTTAGAAAACTGCAAAATGCACCGTTTCAATATTTTTCACAATGATCTCTGATCGAACACACAATAGTATAAGTTGAAAAAAAAAAAAAACTAGACTTATTATCATCTTTTACACAGTTCACCGATCTTCTACGGTGATGTCTGTCTCCTGATTGTATCGCCGCCACCGCCGCCGCCGCCGCTGCCGTCGCCACCACCGCCACCGCCCCGTGCAATACAATCCTGAGGCACTTTAATCCCGTGGGGGGGAATTGATTTTGAACGCGGACCCATCCCGTAACCGCCCTCTCTCCCTCTCTTTTTGTTACTGTTCGTTGCGTCAACATTGTAAAGCAAAACCGAGTTTACAAGTACTATGGTACGGAAGGGATGTATAGGCAGGGTGAAATCGAGTTACAAACCGAGTAAGCGATTGGACGCTGTGGGAAAAGATGGGAGGGGAACGAGAACGTATATGCTCGAGAAGAACGAAAATTTATGTTTTAACGTGTAATCGATGAGGAGAAAAATTGATAGGAGACAAAGAGAGAGAGAGATAGAGAAAGAGAACATATTAACAAAAGAAAGAAACGATTAATTCGGAAGAAGACAATGAATGACGAAGTAACGGAATGTGTACATCTCGATACAATATTTGAAACGAACGTTCGATCTTTGCGAGATCAACGACGACGGAAAGAACAATAGAGAGAGAAAAAGAGAGAGAAAGATAGAGAGAGAGAGAGAAGAATGGAAGCAAAGAAAGCAAAAAATTGATGACTTTTTTTCCAGAGAACAAGAGAGAGAAGAGAAAGAAATATCGGGAAGTACAGAGGGAAAGGAAGAGAGAGAGGGAGGGAGAGAACGAGGTGCGCCGACGAAAAGGGGAGAAGTCCGGAGGGGAGAAACTCCTGGTACTCTCCAAAGCTCTCTCCCGTGCTCTCTCACCCTCCGTAAATTTTGCGAGCCGGAGGGGCTTTTCGTTAAAGGCGAGCTATCGGCGCGGGAGCGCGTCCCTTTAAAGGGGATGAAGGTGTTCGCGTAGCCGACCGATCGCCCTCGTGAGATATGAGCATATCTCTGTATTAAATTCACGAGCGCACGTAGACTAGGTTTCTCTCTCTCTCTCTCTCTCGCTCTCGTGTTCTCTTTTTTTCTTCCTCTCCTCCCTTCCTCCCCGTTCTCTTCCTCTCATCCAGGCTCATTCGCGCGCGAATCAATCCCTCCCCGCGTTTTGCGCTTTCTCCATATTCCTTCTTTCGCTTTCATTGCTCTTGCTTTCGCATTCTATGTGTACAATTTCCTCTTCTCTCCCTCTCCTCTCTCTCTTCCTCCTCCTCTTTGAGCACACACGTCGAGGGTTTTGAGACTGAGTGCGTATATATACGACACATTCGCAATTCTGAAGTATGATAATTCGTACTTTCTAAACCCCAGGGGTTCCCAAATGAGAGGGGGGGGGAGGCAATGGTCCGAGAGAAGATTTTTTTATATCATAAAATCTAAAGAGTTCATCAATAATAAGATGTGTTATATAAAATACAAATAATTTGTACAAAACCATAAAATGTCACGATAAATAAAATATAAAAAATATCACTAAAATTAAAAATTTGTAATGCGCAAAAACGGTGTTTTTTCGTTCACCTTCGGTTTTCTCGTTCGGATGGACACTTAAAGTTTCGCGAGAGAAAAAAAACTGTTGGGAACCTCTGTGTTCTATACATCGACACGCCGTGACATTTGAAAGAGTCGACTTTCGAAATGGCAAAAGTATCGATCGCCGATTTGAAAATCAAATTTTGTCGAAAACCATGTGCTAGCAAAGTGAGAATCACGCGGTATATACGTATATATATATATACACACGTATCTGGAATTACGCGTTCGGAGAATATTATTATTAATTATTTTAATGTAATTAATTAGATATATATATACACACGTAAACACACAAGTTAAAAACAAAAAAAAACGAAAGTGACGAGAAGAAGGTCAACTCAATATTAGTTTTTAATATAAAAAAACGTGTAATCTGTTTAATAAGAATAATAATGGTATATATAATCATAGATATCGATAGCAATAATAATTAATAATAATAATAATAATAATAATAATAATTAATAATTAATAATAATAATAATAATAATAATGCTAATAATATATATAATGTTTGGCATCGTTATGTGTTATTTTTTTTTTTTTTTTTGCGTCTGTATGTACAACAGTAGTCTCGCGGCGCTTTTTCGGCGTTTTGCTTTTTTGTTTTTTTGTTTTTTTGTTTTTTTTGCGAAACTGTCGCGCTCTGTGTTTTGAACATGTATTACAGGCGAACGTGGCTAGCGGATATAATATAATAATTAATGCGTAAACATATAAACAAATAACCGCATAATTAATCAGTTAATAATGCAAATTAATAATCTTACTAATAATAATCTGTATAATATAATTATAATAGCAAAAATACAATTATATATAATAACAACAATAACTAATGGACAAAATTAAATGTCGTAATAAGTAATACCGGGGTATGTGTAGCATGTAACAAATCCTTTTTTTACATTCAACAAAAAAGAGATGCGATATCGTCAGCAACAATAAGCGATTATCGTAAGTGTGCAACTGGCGAAACGAAACTTCGTTTTGAGATTCGAAACTAATGGCAGAACTTTCGAGAAAACTTTAGTTCTACTAAGTAAACGCGTATAATCACAATACGTAAAAAGAAAACAAATTTATTCGTTTATTGACAATGATTTTTGAAAAAACTTTGACTTTCTCTCTACCACTTTTGCACGTCTTGTCCCCGCTCCAAAACAATATTGCGAATTAGCACTTTTTATAACCACCTATTGTTTGAGTTACGTGATTCGACGTGAAGCTCTTCGTGATGTGTGTGTGTGTGTGTGTGTGTGTTTGACATTGGAAACAATTTTTATTAAAATCGCACGTAACAATAGAAAAAAAAAATATCGCCTACGCACATGTTTACGTAGAAAAAAACGCGTTTGTTTGCTAAAAAAAACTGTTGTCGCAAAAAACGGTTCGTGTAACGCTGGAAAAATTAATCTGACACACATCGCGGATATGTATTAAAATATATAGAGTAGCTATGTCTGTGTGTGATAAACCCAGTTGTGTTTCTCTACGAGCAGCGTTTGATTAAACCCCGTTCCCCGCACTTTCAAGAACCCGAGAATATAAGCGCGTTTTGTTTTTTTTTTTTATAATATTTTATTATTTTATTTCTCCGTTTTTTTCCCCGGGAATATGAAAAATAAGCTTTTATCATCAGGTCACTTGATATGATTATCGTTGGGGGTGGTGGCGAGCCGCAAACCTTTCGCTCTATAATCGCAAAGATGCGTCGAGTTTTGCAATATGTTGTTGACAATAACCGCGTCACGGAAATTACGACACTTTATTTCCGATAATCGTGCGCACGTGTGTATGTGTGTGTGTGTGTGAGAAAAATGTTAAGAGTGTAGTCTCCTATATCTCGCCCTCTCTTTCTCATTCGTTACTCCGCCAAAAATATCTTCTCTCGCAAATTTGATAATAAAAATTTCACGCGATTTAAGAAATAATATACGCGATAAATACACCTTACGTCGCCCTCAATCTCTTGTTACAAAAGTCGTTTCATGAATTGCAAATACAGAGAGCATTAAAAAAAAGTGTAGAAAGCCAGTGGCGAAATCAGCTTTTCATCAACGGCCTATGTTGTAACGATGATTTCGCGTATCTTTTTTTTCTTCTCTCTCTCTCTCTCTTCTAAATAAAAAAATACAATTGTGTAAGAGTGCGTCGTCGATTATTCGTTCTGAACGATTTGCGACATGCTAAGACATGAAGAGAAGTTTGTGTGTCAGCCCCGCGCGTTGCTTGACTATCCGCGTAAAACTGTATATATAAACGTAATGCAATGTTTTCTCTCCTGCTATTTACACATATACACAAGGCTTATTGTTTAAAAAAAAAAAAAAAAACAACTCGGATCTGCTAGTACGGAACAATTACTTTTGGTACTGTTTAACAATCGATTTCTGAAATGTTTTTTTTTTTTTCTTTCTTTCTTTCTTCGAGTGAGTTCGCGTTTTTTTCCTCGAACAATTTCAATTAAAATGAAACATCGCAACATCGTGTACATGAAACACTATTCTCTTCCCTCTCAAAACAAAAAAAAAAAAAAATAAATAAATAAATAAAAGTTCTTCGAAACACACACGCGTAAAGCGCGATTACAAAATAATCTCATCGGATTATAGAGTTTCGCATAACATTCTAGAAATCGACTGCGTATTTCATTGCGACTGATACAATGGTCGATAAGTGTATGCTTAAAAGGTACGTATTACTTGATAAATTATACTATATGTATCTTATACTCTAGAGCTATTTAAGGAACGCCGCGTTTGATGGGCCGGGGTTACTGCATTTAAGAGAGAATTCAGTATTGCTAATCTTATCATGTGTGTGATCATAATAATAATAATAATAATAATAATATTAATAATAATAATAATGATAATAAGTTAAACAAGTAAATGTCTCTCTGTCACACACACAAGTGCGTTCGTAGAGATTTCACAAAAACACACCTGTCTGCGCGTGCGCGACGTTTATTTGAAAAATCATTTCACAATAGAATAGCAATATTGCACGCAAACGTACACAGAGACCGCGCAACAACAAGATGAGAAGAATTGCGACGATAATATGCTATTAATAAAAGCAATTTCTTAAAATTTATTTGAGCGTTTTAAGACCGTAGATCAACTTGCTTTTTTCTTTTTTTTTTTTTTCACTAATAAGCGCTTTAAAAACTATATATATATAAATTCTATAACGCGATTCTCTCTCGACGAAACTTGCGCGATCCGTTTTTAGGTTTAGGTTGTGCAGTCGACACGGACTCTTGCCCACCATCCGAGCGGCTTGTTCCTTTTCACAGTTTGTTGGTACAAGCTTAAGCTATTCGAAAATGAGCCATCCTGACTTGCCTTTTCTTTAATTTACTTAGTTTTTTTTTTTTTTTTTTGCTGCGAGACAGCGCGTTTCAGTGCAATGAAAAAATGATATGTGTCTTCTTACACATCTAGGAAAGATCAACTGTGCTTTCTTTCATCTTTTCTTTTTCGTTTTCTTGTTTTTTGTTTTTGTTTTTGTTTTTTTTTTTTTGTTCTTCTTCTTTCTCGCGTTCGCCCGCTCGCTCGTCGTCTTTCTCCAAAGACTTTTTGATATTTTGATAACCGTGACGTAGAATCTACTAGCGCTTTATTTCGCGCCGGCACACGACGACAAGTTAGAAACCCGTATGACACTACACTAGAAAGTATATAGTTACGTATATGCGGTTGCACGGACGTGTCTGAGAGGTGAGCGCTCAGATGATCAATATTCGCAAATTCGTGAAAACCAAGCGAAAATAAAATGACGAGAGATAAGTGCTCGAGAATTATCGAATGTGTGTTCACAAGAATTTTTTTTTTTTTTTTTTTTATTAAAAACAAAGATCCAAAGAGATTCGGAGTACGGAAATATAATAGATGCAAAACAATTGAAATTGAATTGATCTAAAGAGTATACACGCTCCGAGAGAGTCTCTTTATTTAAATAAAAAAAATTTAATTATTGATCCTCTGAGGTTCCCGCACAAATAAAGATATTGTGCCGTGTGTGTGTGTGTGTGTGTGTGTGTGTCGACCTGCGAAGAAAACCGAGAATCTCTTTTTGCAAGCGCGTATTTGCACGAAACAAAGTGTATGTAAAATAAAAATTTTCATATCTCGTCAAGTCGCTCCGCGACACATTCGATCGCAGGTGGACACGTTTCTAACGCGTGTTGCGCATGTTTTCCTCGTGTATATCTATACTGATCTTCGCGGCGGCAACAACACACGTACAAGCGTGCGATTGCCGCGCAAAAAAAAAAAAGAGAATTGTATTCACACTACATATTTAACGTTAAATGTGGCCTGTTCCAGTCTCGCGTTTTAAACTCGCGATGTCCTTGACACTAGACACGTTTAGCATTAAATGCGATGTAACACAAGCGTGTGTACGTGTGTGTATGTGTGTGTGTGTGTGTGTGTGTGAATACAAATCCGTGTGATATCAAGAAATATATGTACAACGCGTCGGATAAAAATCATCGGGCACGGGATACATTCTCAATATACCTCGGTATCTTTGAAAAACTTTAACTGGGGAATATAAAAATGTAAATTTCGACCGTAACGCTTCTATCGCGCGCTTCCGCGAACGTTATCGACGCACAACAGCAAAATCGTTTCTCTTAAATATGTTCGCGTTTCTTTCGATATTTTTTTTTTTTTTTTGTCGGTCGGTGTACAGAAAGGCACGCAATGAGAAATGGAAGGATACAGATCCAGAAAGAGGAAGCATGATCATCGTCGATATCACGCTCTCTCCGTGCTTTTCTCGCGAGTGTGCGTGTGCGTGTGTATGTGTGTGTGTGTGTTTTCTCCAAGTTCTTCGTGCTTGGAATAAGAGAGTCTCGATTAAAACGCGAAATATACACGCACTCTAAACACACGCGTTTTCTAATTGGGAGACGTCCAGAAGGCAACATTCCGACTAATTAGTTATCAAGGGAATTTTCTCTCTTCGGAATTGACGACATTATAATTCACAGTGGCGTGTGTATCGTATTGTTCTTGGATTGGAGTTAAAAGATAAACTAATTTAACGCAAACGACAAAAAAATCAAAACTAAAAAAAAAGTAAAAAAAAAAAAAAAAAATACGAATTGCAACAGAGATTCCGCAAAACTCGAGAGGCGTAATAAAAATTGCAATAAATATGTATAGCACTTCGTGTTGAGACACGGTTGTAAGTAATGCGCTTGTGATCGAAGCTTATAAATTATAAAATGCGTTGTGAATACACAAATTGTTTATCTATACACAGAGAGATACAATAAAAATTTCTCATTTGTTATATTACTGTATATATATATATATATATATATCCGAAAACAAAAAAAAAAAAATTTACATAAACGCATATTCAAACACAGTTTTTTTCCTTCATCCGCACATACACGCGCAACAGATATATAACACACTCATCGAATATCAATTTTATTGGAAAAACAAATCGTCAAATTGCAACTTCGACATATAGTTTGTCTTTTTTTTTTTTTTTTTTGTTGTTGATTGTTTTGCATATGCGTATTCACACACAAAAATGAGCTAACGATTTTCAAATAAACATTTGAAAATGACTATTACGTTCACAGCGATCACATATTCGAGTGTTTCTCTCTCTTTCTCTCTCTCACTTTGATTATCAGAAAATTGGAACGGAAGAGAGTATTTGTTGTTAGAAAAAGAGCACGTTAAACCGGTGTAAATATTAAATCGACTAAAAATTAATGCATACACCTCTCACACTTTATTAAATTTTGAAACATAGAAGAGATTATTTTCAACAATTCATATTTTGCCAATAACATAAAGGCTATAATCCAACAATTTATATGTGAAACACATCCTAAAAATAACAAAAATATAAACAAATCTTGATCGTCTCTCTCACTTTGCTATAAATATAAGAAAACGCTAAGATAATTAACTTAAAAAAAAGCACACTTGATTCGTGGCAAAATCTAATACCCACATCAAACAAGTTTACGAAATTTGTACAAAATATTTTTTTCAACCTAACAAAACAATTTTTTTTTTTGTTTTTTAAATGTAGTAGAGGTTTTCGATTTTTGTTTCTCGGCCAAGATTTTATACTCACGCAACATTTTTTTACGGCGTTGCTTATTTTCAGAAGTTAGTCTTAAATTAGTTTTAGTAATCGTTTGTAATTGTCTCGAAACGTCTAAATCTCGTTTTCTAGCGGGTTGTTCTTGCTTCTTATTATAGGTATGTTTATTGTTTATGAGATGTGTATATAAAAAAATATGAATCGTCTTGTTTCTTCTATTAGAGGTAGATACGCAGGAAACAGAAGCGATATTCTTACATTTTTAATTCTTGTGTGCACTTCACTATTATATGTGTGCCAGGTCATTTCTTTTTCTTTCTTTCTTTCTCTCTCTCTCTTCCTCTCTCTCTCTCTCTCTCTCTCTCTCTCTTTCTCTCTCTCTCTCTCTGGCGGTTAAAAGCAATTTTTATCGAAATTTACAGACAAGTAAATTATACACTACTCAAGTTCGAACCTCACGAAATATTAAACATACCGATCTTTATTTTTCATTTTTTTCTCAGAGAGCACGCTCAAAATAAAAATAATTTGTAATTGATTGCCCGCGAGAGAGAAGCGAATTTCGGTTTGAACACGGGTCGATAAATATTTTGTAAAATAGTTATGTGACGCGCGCATCTGATAAGATAATCCAACAACTTCTACCTACGGCACTTAAGGTGCCAAGTAACGTGAATTACTTTACACACACATACATTTCTATAATAAAATAATTAGCTGGTCTACTACAAAGACACAAGAGCCTATAACAGCAGGAAGTTACAATCTGTTTCCCTTACCTGATAATTAACCTTTTTGTTTTTTTGTTTTTTTTTTTTTTGTTTTTTTTTATTGCAAAAGAATTCTTGTCCCACATTTGGTTGAGTCCAAAAACAAAACTCTTACATTTGTACACGCACACATATATGTATAAGGATATTTATGCGAATATATATTATGTACAATTACTAAATTGTGAAAGACAAACTATAAAAAATGGAACGTTAACGAAAAGTTGCGATACTTGCATATACAGCTATTTTTTTTTTTTTTTTTTTTTTTTTTTATGTACATAAATCCGACAATGCAGCAATACAAATTAATTAATGAGCGTTAAAATATTAATTCAAGCGTTATAAACAAAAACAAGTTATAATATCCGACTTCCCCTCCCCTCCCCTCCCGTTTCATTTNNTTTTTTTTTTTTTTTTTTTGATAGGAAATGCGCCGCAACCTAACGGAACATTGAATCTAACGTCTCTTGGCTATTTCGTCGTTTTGCTAAATAATTTTTTTTTTATTGCATCTCGTTATTCCCTTTCAAGCAACCGGGAAAACGCTGCACCGCTCCGCTTTCCTGCACAACTCGATATCTCGGTTGAGATCGTACACGGAAACTTCTCACCGCCAATTCTCAACGTCATTGTCATCGGCGGTTTAAAGAATCGGTTTCAAATGTGTCGACGACGAAATTTCGTTCATCGTATTCGTCTCGCATTTCGGCGATTCTCGGACCAAAAGAAGTGACAGAAATTCTTCAACGGCACAGATTTGTGTGAAGCAGTAGCAACGCGGCGATCGGAATCTCCACAAGTAGTAGCAATACTCTCAATGGTTGCAATGCTTCGCGCTAGTGTACGTCGTCGGCTTGGCGTCAGTCACTACCACCGCTGCCGTTTCCGAAATACTCTCCGGCGTCACCGCGACATATCGGACACGTTCGGTTGGACTGTAAAATGAAGATTTGCCAAATTTTACAGATTACAACTAAAATATCAAATAAATTTTATAAAATTTTCGCAGAGAGCACCACGACTTACTTTAAGCCATTTATCGATGCATTTAGAATGAAATTCATGAGAGCACGGCAAAACACGTAGCGACTGGAGAGCCTCGAAGTCGCACATGCACACGACACAGTTCGTTTGGTCTCCCTGATGTGTTTCCGCATTGAATTTGTAAGAAGGCAGCTGTTCAACTTCCGCGCGAGTCAAACCGCGAGGTTTTGCTTCGCCCAGTCTTTCGGCCAGGGACAGCAATGCCTCGTAATTCTCCGTCACTGAATCAGGTGAGGATAATTCGGCCTGATTGTAAGGTGATAGCGGTGGATTGCTGAACATTGCTCTGCGAAATTTAACACGTCCTCGTGTTATTTGAATTAATCACTTTTGCGTGCAATCAATATTATAATATATGTCAGAACGTATTACGTACAGGAAATGTAGCAAATATCCCGGATATACAGGTGGTAATGGAGTCGTGCCTCTCCATCTGCTGAATCGCGGCCGTCGCAAAACGCTCGACGTCACTCGTCGAGTTCTGTTCTGCATCATCTCCAATTGACTGTTCCGCGTTTCCGACAGAAATATAGGCGGTGGTGTTGTGACCTGCGTGAGAGCCGGCGGCGAATACGAATGCGGTAACGGCATCGGTGCGCCAGCTGCGGCGCCCACTCTGTGATGATGATGGGATTCTATCAATTCGAGTTCAACTTCTCTCTGAAATCGAAGAGAAAAAAATGTTAGCGGTGAAAAACTGTGCGTGAAAAGTTTCAAGAGCCCAATCTATTTCACTTCTCGTTCAAATTCGCACCTGCTGAGACAATTGATGATGCGCTGTGTAATCGGTGGTATGGACGGGCGGTGGAGGCGCGTGCGTATGATGCAGCGTCGGCACGGGACCACCGGGCGGTGTTGGATATCCTCTAGAAGCGGCACCAACCAAGGAACCGACCAGACCATGTCCCGGATGTGTTGGATGAGCAGCGGAGTAATGACTGTGATGGTGCGTCACCTGATTACAGAATAAACAACTAAAACAATAGTATAAAGTAGTAACAATCGTATAAAGAAGACATCGTGTTCCGTCTGTACGTTCTTGCGTCGATAAAAACACAATTAACGTTAAAAAAAAAAGTGGATCAAAACTCATTCAATCGAAATATGCAAGCGCAAGTACAGACTGAAGCCGTAACTACTCTCATACTTTATTCAAGAAAATAAACTTGTATTAATTACAGTACCTGGCACGAGTGTCCGAATGGATGCGTTCCATGCGGTGTGTAGAGACCGTGAAGCTGGCACGGAATTCTGTAGCCTGTCGCCTGTGGATGCCACAAGGGTTCCCCGCTAACAGCGACCCCTAAGCCGGATACGCCGACTTGACCCACGTCAACGACTACCGGAGCATTCGCACCTTGCGCGGGATGATGCCCTGTGCCGCCAGCTGCCGGATGCTGATGAGGATGCGCTTGATGCGCGTTATGAATGTTGTGATGCGAATTGTGAAGACTGTGAGAGCCGTGGATGTTGTGATGCGAATTGTGGAGGCTGTGATGGGAATTGTGAATGCCCTGATGTGGATTGTGACTCGGTAGGAACGGATACGAGAGCCCGAACGAGTCCGCGTAACGTTGATAGCGATTCCTGATCGTCGGACTGCCTCGGGTGGACATGTGATTGCGGGGGGAGCGTCGCTGATGAGGCGCAACTCCGAATTCCCAAGGCGGCGGAGTTGTGTGGAGAGGCGGTGTTGGTGCCGGCGGCGTCGTCTCCCGGACCTCTATCCCGGATACGGCGCCGTTGCGAGATATTCGACGACGCTTCCTCGACGGCGACTCGCTCTGAAAAATAATCTCGATTGTTTTTACTCGATCCCGCGATTTGCTTTCGTTTCGTAGTAGTAGCTTACGTAGTACTTTTCGAAAAACAAATCTTATCGTCGTTTGTCGTCAAGATCGCGCGCGCGAGAGATTTGCACGGTCGTATCGTTATAAATAATCAAAATCTCTTTCGTTCTCATGTAAAAGACTCGCGAAATCAAGTTTCAAACATATTCTTCGCGTCTTTTATTGACGTGGCAACCAGAGAGTTCTTGTTTTTCCACCGAATTCTTTTTCACCGGAAAACAAAAGAAAAAACGCTATATAAATTGTTAGAAAAAAAAAAAAAACAAAAAGTCTCTTTTCGAACTTGGGTTTTGAAAAAATAGAAAACAACACACACTATTACATAGCGAGTAAAATAAGTTGCCGATCTCCGGGATTGTTACCGTTTTTTACTTCACTTGTTTTTTTTTCTTCTGTCAAAACAATCAGTTCTCGTTTCTCGTTTCGAATTATTCAACAGATATATTGACAATGAAGTCATGTGTGAGTGTTTTCCTTATCACATCATCATAATACATTCAAAACAAAACAAAACGCTCACCTTTCTGCCATCGTCCTGACTAGGCTGTCTGTAATACGGCGGCGACGGTTGGATCTGCATGTTGGGGCTCAGAGGTAGCTGATTCGTGGCTGAAAGGAACGAAGTTCCCCTAAATTCCTCTTCACAGAATTGCATAAAGAGAGGAAGAGAAAGCAGAACACTGATATCGAGACTATTGTCGTTTATTAATGATCGACCTTAATTCGTTAATCGATTTTTTGTTGTTGTTTTACACCCTAAAAGTGAAACGTTTAGGTATGACGGCGTTTGACACGTTCGCGACGGGTTGTACCACCGGTGGTACATTCTTCTTTCACAAAAATCAGAGCCCGTCGCGAACGTGTTAATTCGACTCGAGAAATTGTTGAAAAAACATTTTGCCAAAACTTCTCTTTCTTCAATGAATATCTACTAATGTGACGTGTGAATGTTTGTTTAACAGAAGAGAGGACAACAGGTTTTACACATAAAATTCTATCTTTAACGAATTTTCAAAGAGAGAGTTTTCATTTTACGTGCTGAACAAAAAATTAAATCCAAATGTTCAGAATTAGGGTCAAAATAACCTCCTGACAGACTCGTAGACAGTCGGGAGAAATACCTTGAGAGGTTCTGCGATACTCCATGTCCACACCGCTGGCTCCGAGGCCGGGACTCATGTTCAATATAGGTCCGCGCATCGTGTTCTCCTGAAATCGCGTTGGCGCAATTAAGCAATTTTCTCGCAAGCGTAGACGGATACCGGAGAAAGATTATAGTGCGTATGGGTATATATATATATATATAAAGTGTGTGTGTGTGAGAGAGAGAGAACTCCGTGTTCACCTGTCCGCAGATATTGATGTGCAACGGCGGTGAATTGGCCGGCGGGCCTACCCCAGGTTCCTGGGGGAAGTGCGGCGGCGGGCCCCTCGTCTGCGGACTGTGCTGCGGGGGTGGTTTGTATCCCACGCTGGATCCACCCACGTTCCCGTGATAGGAAACCTCTTTGCCGGCCGGTCCGGAGGACGTGTCAACCCCTGGGCAATCCCTGCGCGTACGTGGAGAAATATAAGTGGGTGGTTGCAGTATATGTACAATATCTTGTACACATAAATGTATATATAATAATAAATATATATATATGTGCGAGAGAAGAACGGTATGTACGTTGCGCACGTTACGGAAAATATACGTAATAAATTTGCGCGATACATATATATATATATATATATACACGCCGAGAGAGCGTTCTCGAAGTGATAACTCGGCTTAAACCGCTGATAGCGGCCGCACTCGTAATAGAAATGAGTCACGTATCCTATGCGCCGCGCGTACACGACGCGAGGATCTTCCGACGCAGGCCGGTCCATCGATCTTGACTGCAAACCCTCGTAAACGACGAGTGTGTCGCGAAGAAACTTTCGCGGATCTTATAACAATATCGTAACGCGAATGTGCGAAGAGCGACGTTCGAAGTGAAGTTTGTGCGCGAAATGTTGAACGGGAGAGAATTGCGACGTTTATTCTTAATTAATTAAATCCTCTTAACTTTTGACTCTCGAGCAGACGAACGCGTCGAATTTTATCGACAAAATTCGAATTTGCAATATTTGCGATCGATTTTAGCGTTTTTTTTCCAAACGTGGAAAAGTTGAAAAAAAAAACTCAAACGATTTGCGACGTCGCGATTGCGCGAAAATCGCAAGCTTAACACACTCGAAACGGCTTGCAATTAAGCAAGCATCTTTCCGTGAGCGATTATGAAAGTCGCAGTCATCAGAATTATAACGATAGCAACCAACGCCCGGTTGTGCTGCGATGTCTGACAACTCGCGAACAACGGTCGTTATTACGAGCAGCAGCAGCAGCGCGCTGCTGGTAACCACACACCACCGAGGCAAAAATTACGTCGCGCCGCGCGTTACGTATTTTAGAAACAACGAAAAAAAAATCATCGTTACACGTCTCCTCGTGTTCTCTTCCTTCCGTCATTTTCCTTCCTGATAAATATTAATTTAATTTTTCATTAAAATAAAAGTTGCAACGAGAGAGAAGTCTCTTTCTCTTTCTCTCTCGCGAGAAAAAAACTGAATAAATTCGCAATATACACGTATACACGTGTAAAATCTCCGCTAAACAAACTACTCTTCTCTCTCATTCTTGTTTTTCGAGCTATTTATAAAATTGATAAAATTAATCAGCACACATTTATTACATATTTTATAAAATCATGAAAAACACATTTTAGTCTCTCCCTCTTCCTGTTCGCAAATATTTAAAACGACGAGGATTTTCACGAATGTGTATATACGTACTCTTTGCAACAATAAAGAGCTTTATAAATGAATTATCCTCTCGGATCGCAAACATCAGTTGAGATAAATAAATGCAAGACTGTAACCGCGTTTTTTTTTACAAACGCGCGCCCGCGTGTCGTCTTGCGAGATTTTTGTTTTATTTCGCGTCGAGAATTTAATTCAAATTTTCGTTATTGTCGCATATGTTTGTCCGTTGTCGCGAAGTTGAACGTTTTTTTCACGACGGTGAAAAATTTACGTCGGGGCCAATTTTACTCACACTCTCCTGCACTTATCGGCGACACCATTTGAGAGTCGCATCTTGAATTCTCTTCGTTAAGCGAAAAACCGACTCTACCTACGTACTTCGCGCGAGAGAGAGTTCGTCACCGAATTCGCGACTGAAAGAATATCCGATATCCGCGGGCTCACCGAACACTTTCTATGTGTTTGCTTGACCTACAAGCACGGACGAATAAATTGACCGTGATAAGTTATAACGATTCAACAACAAACCGGAGAGCGCTATTTATTTATTTCTGTTATAACCGCGGATTAATTTATTGTTACACAATATACGAAATGTAAAATCCGACCGTTTTCGACGTCATAAAGAATACATGCATCAATGAAAACCGAGCTGCTGTAACGTTACATAATGCACGTGGCAGTATAGTCGCGAAATAGTCACACTTCTCTCTCTCTCTCTCTCTCTCTCTCTCTCTCTCTCTCTCTCTCTCTCTCTCTCTCTCTCTCTCTTTTGTAATACATGATGTAACAATGCCATTTACATAATTTCGTCAATGTACAGCGTGTATTTATTTATACCGCGACTCGGTGGTGGCACATCGGTTNACGAAATGTAAAATCCGACCGTTTTCGACGTCATAAAGAATACATGCATCAATGAAAACCGAGCTGCTGTAACGTTACATAATGCACGTGGCAGTTAAAACTAAATTTTTTTAAAGATTTGTTTCTCTCTCTCTCTCTCTCTCTCTCTCTCTCTCTCTCTCTCTCTCTCTCTCTCTCTTTCGTTTGTAATACATGATGTAACAATGCCATTTACATAATTTCGTCAATGTACAGCGTGTATTTATTTATACCGCGACTCGGTGGTGGCACATCGGTTTTACTTTTGTCCGCTATGTTTTATTTAAACTAACTTTCGCTCGTGAAAAAAACAAAATCAGAAAACCGATGGACGTATATATATAAATTTTGTTTTGAAAAACTATCGCGGCGCGCGTTTTCTTGCCCTTTTAATTCTTTTATCGCGCGATCTTTCAGGTGAATCTAACTAACCATATATACTATATATATATATATATCGTACCCGTTTTTAAAACGTTGCATTTTTTAACGAAAAAACATCACGAGCGTTGCGGCTTTGAACAGTCGCTGACATTGAACGGTCGCTCGAGTTTATTTAACTGACGCGGAGCGATATTTTATTCATAAACAACATTCATTCACACGATCAATTGATTCTTTTATATTTTATTCGACGAGAAAATGACGTTTTTTTGATGGACTTTTTTTTTTTTTTACAGGTTTCTAACCACCAGTCACAGAACGTGAGGTTTATTTTTACATCAGGCACGGCAAAGGCTAAGTCGCTTGCGTATTCACGAGAGACTCGAAGGAAGAAATTGAAATGTGTGGTTCGAGTATATAAAGAAAAGAAGAGCGAAACACGTATGTGTATATGTGTGTGTGTGTGTATGTGTGCGCAAAACTGATAAGTATATACGAGCGAGCATGCCATATAAATTGTAGATAATCACTTGAAAATATATAATGTAACGAGAAATGTTTAAGGAAAATATAAAAAATATGTTGAAAAGCGCACGTTATATATAAAACTATTATACACACGCTCTCTCGATGCGACAGAGTCAATTGGCGGGGCTTAACAACTTCCAAAGATGTCGATGTCATGCGTCAGTGCCACAGCGACGAGATCGCATCAGTTTGAAAAAAACAACTACGCGTCGTGTGATAAAACATGAACAATTTTATGGCTGATATTAGAAAAAAATGATAAAGTTTGAATTGCATTAATAAAATATTTGATAATTTGTTATTATACAGCGTGTACTATTTACAACATATGAATTTGTATATACATATATATGTATATATATATATATATATATGTATACAAGCAGAGCTTCTCTCTGACAGTTCAATTCAAATTGAACGCACGAACTAAACATTTGTTTCTTTTTGCATGCAACTTGCAATTTTTTTCTTTTTTTTTTTTTTTTTTTTTTGACGTGCAGGATGTCGTCAACCGACTACTTCCTTTCAGTTGATACGTAGGTACTACGTGATTGGCATAACGTAAAGAGGTGTTTGAACACAATAGTAAGTATTGATGATATTTCTGATTAAGAAACACAATTATGACCGTATATCACGTTTCGACACTCGCATAAAGTTGCAAATACGCTGCGTCATGCAATCGCATGTGAAAATAACTCGCGCAAATCGCGCAAAGATTTACCTCCATTTCTCCGTCCGTTCTAATTTCGCTCGGCGTATAAAAAAGTTAACGCTTTTTGAAAAATAATTTTTTTCGATTTTTTTTTTTTTTTTTGGTTCGAATTACGATAATCCGCGTACGCGAGAGAACAAGATGTTTTGAGGGTTCTGCCTGCGTGATCTCAATGATGACGCGGATTCAACGATTGAATTTTTTGTGGAAATCGAATTTGTTTTTCCACGAAAATCCTGCTTCTAAGGAAAGATCCGAATCCTGTCACTAAAATCAGAGAACAGAGAGTTTAAACCCGGGAAATATACGAGAGAGAGAAGATCCAACGGGAATCGAAATTCGAATCGAACGATTTTCGGCGTAAATCCCGAAGGCTGCGTCTACACACACACACACACACACACACACACACACACACACACGTGTGCGGGGCAGATATAAATGGTTTGTATCTAATGAAAATCCAGAGCGCGCACCAAAAACACACACAGAACGAGACTATGCTGCGTGCGCGCGTTTTACGCGGCGAGCGAGAGAGAAGGAAAATCGATAAACCGATTTAATTGGCGGTAGGCAGATAGAACCGGGAGCGGGGTCGAACGCGAGTTTTCGCGAAAAGGATCGGAGTGCGAACATGGAAATAAAGCGCGTTCGTTGCGCACTCGCGGCGAACATCATCCGCTCGTCGCGCAACGCTCGCTCGCTCGCGCACGCACGCACGGCTGTTGATTATCGTCGATTAGAGAGAATCGTCGACTCTTCAATGTCGGTCTCCTCTGAAAGTTAAATACGCACGTTGTATATAGAATCCACGGAGCCTGGTCTGTGAACGCGCGTTTCGTGTTTTATATATTATATACATAAAAAAAAAAAAAAAAAAAAAAAAACCGTGCACGTCGCGCGAGTTTGCGCGCGGACGGCACTTTCGCTTAAGCCGTGCTAAAGCCGGTGACGTTTAATGCACAAGTGCGCAACGTCGAATAATGGTAAAGTGGCACGAGAATTTTTGCCGCGCGAGGAAAAAAAAAACAAAAACACCACCGATCTCCGCCCGTTAATGAAACGCGTGTCGACTTCTGAGCGATACGAAGAGGGGGATCGCGAGAGAGCGCGTTTTACAACGGACATCGAAAAAGAAAAAAAAAACGGAATTTTATTTATTTCGAACTTTCTCTCATAAAGCGAGACAGAAAGTCCGTGAAAATTGTGGAAAGATTTTCTCCGGATCGTCGCGCAAAATCGTACCTATTATCGGACGAATATTTACCGCGATAGAATTTTCGTCATCGAAAATAGATTTCGAGTGCAAAAGAATTTTTCAGTTATCGAAGATTTATACTCCATTCCTATTTCGTATTGTGTGATTAAAATTAACGATTGAAATCTATCGACTACCTTTACGAGAAAATTCGCACAAAGCTAACGAGACATTTACGTCAAATCGGGGCTAGTTGCGTTGCGTGCTTTTATTTACGTGCTTTTTTCCGATTTTTATCGATTTTTTCTTTTTCTTTTTCAAAAGAAGAAGACGAAAGAAATAATCGATTCCAAAAAAGTACACAACAGAGCGACCACCGAGATATGCCAGTTTAAGGAGCAATGCGAGAGATCTTTTATTCGACCGTTCCGTATATTACAGACCTGATGTAACGTCGAGGCGCGTTCTCTGTGTAGTTTTTCTAACAAAGCCCGTCATTTATAAAAGTTCTCTGTCATCGAGCGAACGATCTTATCGTGGATTATACGCGTATTATACGTTAAGTTCAAGTGTTAAAAACCAGCAGGCACCCAGGCGAGCAAAGTGTTAAACAATATATATATATATATATGTCTATAACAATTTTGTTATTAGTATTTCTTACGTAGAAGATTAAAAAAAAACCATGACTAGATTTATCACTGTGATTAATGTAGAAAAACTTTTTAATATCTGTTCGAGAAAAATGTGGCGTAACATCTATCATGCGATTATTTAAAAGTCAGTAACAAATCTTACAAAGCCTCACATAGGCATACGTGTGTCTTAATTGCATAATAATTATAAAATATAATTATATGTAGTAAAATTATGAGATATATATATTTCGAACAGAAAAAAACATTGTGTGTGCATGTTTCTTCTCCGATAAAATTCCAGCAAAATTATCAAACTGAAAGTAATCCAGGCAACGTAAGATAAACGTTCCAATGACCGGGCAAGCACCACTGGTCGGAGACATCTTGTTAAAGAAACAATTAGGACGAAGTACACATGTAAAGTGAAGAAACTAATATTTAAAAACATAAATCTTAAAACATTTGAAATATAAAAAATTATCTCTAGTTTGATATATTTAATCATTATTTCTTCAATGTGTACGAACGTGTCCGCGACCGTTGGATCCGGTTGTTGGGACATTTACCTTAAACAACGTTTGAATAAAAAAAACAAAATCAACAAATTGGAAAGGCATTCTTCTGTTACAAAGTGCTTCTATTACAACAATAACATGATAAAAATCATCCCCGTAAACCAAAAAACAAACAAAAAAAAAAAGAACTTAACCGACAGTTTGCAAAATATGACATTTGTGTCATATTCAGTGTATCGCCTGAGTTCCTATATACGTTTTTCCAAATCGTCAAAATCGAAACACATACGCACGGTGCGCGGATATTTTGCAACGCAGCCTAGAGTCGCGCAGCTTCGTTATATACCCATTGTGATTGTGATATCGCGCCGGACACTGGCGATGTGAGTGTTCCTTGCTGCCGGCGGCGTATTGTTGGGGCTGCTGATGCTGTCCGTGCGGATGCCATCCGTTGCGGGGATGCGACGGCGCCGGGGCGCGCGCGTGCGGCCCCGACGGTGCGCCATTCGCCACCACGGTTCTGTAACGTCCCTGCATGCTAGCCAGGCAACGATGCTGATGACTCCCGGGACCATTCATTCTTCTTCACACCCCCTCCCGTCTATATTTTCTCCTTTATTTATCTGTCTTCCTCTTTCCTTTCTCTATCTTTATCTCTCTCGCCTCTACTCCTCGTCGTCGTCGTCCGTCGTCGTTGTTCTGATAATCGCACTTGACGAGAAGGTTAAATTCCTCAGTCGGTATCGCTGATGTCGCGCGAGCAACGCCAACCAGCTGTCCTCGGCTGCGCGTTCTCTCGCCTCTGAGACGTCACGCCGATGATCGGCCGAAAGGTACCTGGCGAGGTATTTAAACGACGTTACCTAGCCGGGACACAGACGCTTAGAGTGGATGCGACAGTTCTCTTTCTCTCTCTCTCTCTCTCTGCCTCTCTCTCTCCCTCTCTTTTGTCTTCTTTCTTTTCCCTCTTTGTCTAACCCATCCCCGACACTTGATGTTTCGAAACACGAGACGCGTCGGAGGAACGAATCCGAGCTTTGGCCGCGCCACAAAGCGAGCGAGATATAAACCGAATATCGATACTTGACCTACGATATTTCGAGAGTTCACCATGGTAACTCATTTGATTATGTATCGTGCCAATTTTTTGTGTTTTGGAGAAGAGCTATTAAATTTTGTGCGCGCGCAAAGTACGCAAATTAATTTTCGCGAGAAAATAATCGATAATATCCTTACTATCCTTATTTCTGGTATTGAACGAGAGGGTCAAAAGTTTTATGTTTTCTTTTTCGCAAATATTTTACGATAACGTCACAAAAAATGTTAATAATAAATGAAACGGAAAATATCTAAAAGTCGTATATAAAGCGCCGTGAAAAAAAAAAAAAAGAAAACATGCCTCGTGCGCTACGAACTTATTCGAAGTCTATTAGGAGAGACATGTTTGGTGATAAAAAAAAAGAGACTTAAAATACAAATGGATGTCGACTATGCAATCAATTGATTTTCTTGGCAACTAGATCGGACGCGTTCCTCGACGGTTCTCTATCGCGATGCAAATACGCCCGCAATTCTCGAATCACTTTTTCATTGCATTGAACATCCTAATCACCTTCGCGCAATCTTCAATTTTCCCTCGCTCGTTTTTCGTTATGCAGCGTTAGTAAACCCAGTGTTGTTAAAACATGTACATCTTTCATGCGCGCGATCATGCGCGTCGTTTCTAATAATTATGTATCTACGGTCGTATTCAAATTGTAAAACTCAAGTTTATTTTAAAAATTTGAAGAAAAACCTTGTTATTATCAAACCTTGTTAATATCAATTATATTATATAAAATACACATAAAAATATAAAATGTATTACATAAATGTATGTGTATTTTATATAAATATAAAAAATATATATGTAAAATTTATAATATTTATAATACTTATAATATATGTGAAATATGTATTATATAAATGTTTAGCATGTACGTATTATATATTTGATTTTTTTAAGAAATAAAAATCGAAAAAAACTACCGCTATCATAATATATCAAAGAGTAACGATATATAAAATTTTTTAATTATTCAAAGAGCTTTTAGTAATTTATAGCAAATTGTTAAATACGACAATTTTTGGAAAACTCATATTTTTATGTTATAATTTTATTCATTTTTATTTTTATATATTAAACATCTTATTTTTTGCTCGCTATCAGACCTTTATTATTACTTTTTACTTTTGTTACATACAACTACGAGCGTTTCTTTGTTTTATCGTTTTCTTTGGAAAACTCATTTTCTCTAATAAGTGTTTTATTTAACAACAACAAAAAATTGAACTCTACCTCGATATTCATGTTTTTACCAACACTAGGTTCGTTATAAAGCAGTTTTGAAAAGGAGCAACTATGCAAATCGTATTCAAGAAATAAAATAACGTTGGCGAAGTCACATAATGCGATATTATTTATGTTGCTAATTTGCGGAAATATGTTTCTTCGTTACTTGTGAATTTTTTTCTCCGATCAATAACTACTTCGAAAACGAAACAAAGACATGTCTGTCTAACAAGCGAGTAAAGTAGCAACATCAGTGCTTTGTGCATCGCGCGACTCAAAAAAAAGGGAACCCGAAAATACATGAAACTTAAACAGCATGTAAGACACTTTTGGCAAACGGCAATCTTTTTTCGCGAAATACACTTTTCATCCAATGAGAAAATGTTTTGAATGAAACACACCTCGAAGAGAATTGCAAACGTCTCAAGTTCGTGAGGGCTCTCCACGTATTTTATTTATCATTTCAATGACTGTGCTCTGTGCAAACGTGTAGTAAAATTCAGAATTACTTTTTTTATGTTTATTCCAGTACACATTTATTTACTTGTTTTATTTAACATCGAAATAAAATAAGTTGAATAATTTTATGAAAAATATATCGTCGCGTTTTAAAAAATATTGATGAAGAGATGAAACTAGAACGCAATTTTTTATTCAACACCGCGTGTGTAGAGAGAAAAGAAATCAATGAGAAGAGAATTAATGCGCAATAAAACGTAAACTTGCTCGCTTGTGCCGGAAATTTTTTACGTTGAAACTCTTACATGAGAATCCAAAACTTCATGTTTCTCAAAAGTTCCCTTTTAGAAAATATGTGATGATAAGTGTAGAAAAAAATGTTAACAAAGTGTCTCTAGAGGTGGAAACAAAGGTCTGAACACAAGCGCTCCTTTTCAACAGCTCGCTGACACGCAAAGCACACAGGCACATTTCGAACATTTAGTTCTAAAGCAGAAGCGCAAGGATCGTACACACACGTAACAAAAAAAAATTAAAAATGCTGCTCCGATAGATTCTTATAATGAATATCTGCGTAATAAAAAATCTAGCAATTAGTCTCCGCAACAAGAGAGAGAGAGAGAGAGAGATACTCGAAAATAATGCACAGATGGTCACGGAGACATGTGTGTGTACAGGGATTGAAAACCGGGAAGGGGAGAAATATAAATTCGCGTGGGAAGTGAGAGTTTTTCGCTACTTGTAAGACGCGCGAGCGACGTTTACCGCACCACGCGGGTGACGTAAAAGCGCTAACTATACGTAAGAATAATTTACACACGCCAGGGATTCCCACTGTCACCTCGTTTTGCGAACCCCTTCCCACCAAGACACGTGTCCCAAGGTGCAAACGAGAAAAAGAGGATAAAGAACAAAAAAAAACAAAACAAACAAATTACTTTTGTATTAAAAATGTTAAATTAACGTGTTGTATTATGTAACATATCTCTGGATCATCGCCCCACCCATTTGGAATCCCCTCCGAAGAAGAATCTACGCAAAAGGAACGGGGAAAAAATGGTTTGACACACAAGTGAAAAAGCACACATTGGATACACTTAATTTCAATGCGGTGTGAGTAATGTTAAGGGTGAGCGATGTTAAACACACAAGTGTATCGGAGTGAGGAAGGGAGATAGGAAAAATGACTCTCTTGACCGGATACGCTCGATTCACGAACGCGTGAATAATTGAATACCGTAATTTCCGCGGGAGAGAGCGCGCGAACCACTTTGACAATGTGGAAACGTAATGCGGAAAGTGACGTATTTACGTTTGATAATTTTAACGTCCCGTAATTGGCAACAAAATTTACGTAACCTATTCTCCCAACCGCGCGTTTTACATATTGCATATTACACACACACCGTGTGTTCGCGCTTGAAAAATCGTGTCGTGTTAATTCTCGCTGTTTTGTTTCGATTGACTCGCACGCGTGAATTCTTCTCGCACGTGTTTTTCTATTAAAAAAAAAAAAAACGTGAAATTCCAATAACAAAACGCAAATTAATTTTTCAATCGATTCCGCGCCAGAAAAATCACACACACACACACACACACCGCGCGTCACTCCGCGCGGTTCAAGTTTGAATAAATCACGAACCGTCGATAAACATAACTGCAAATGACCCATTTGATCTTTTTTGGCGAGACCTTTTATTGCGGTATTGAAAACAATTTGCTACGTGGTTATTGTGTCGCGCGATAATCAAATATGTCGCGATCTTTCATAATCTTTTGCAACGTGAAAAAACCGTGACAAATTTGCACGAAAACTCATTAAAAATCACTATCAAATAATCGAAATGTTCGAGAAGCTTCGAAATAACCGAAAAAAAAAAACGTCAAATAAAGCAAAGATTATTAAATACGCTCGCAACAATTGCGGATAAAACGCGAGTTAAGACGAGCCGGGTGTGGTAGGCGATTAACGTCTCGTTTAGCCAAACGGTTTGCTAAACTACGAAGCGAAATGACTGTTTTCGAGTCATTAGCTTTGCTACCATCGTAAATAATCGTTGTTGAAACTTTAGTCTCTTCGAGAATGTTGCGTCAAGCAATAAAACGAAAATTACTGTCTACACTTCAAGGAAAGAAGAAGTCTAAAGGAAGATACTTCTGCGCGTCCGCAAGACTTCTGTCTACTTGCTGTTTGTTACAAAGACGCGTTCCTTTTTTTACGCGTATTTTCTAGCGCCACATTAAATTCTTCATATATTACGCATGTGTGTCGCGTGTGCATTTTCATTTACAGCGCGCGCACATGTACACACAAATACGCATACACGCAAATCGATGTAATTTCACTGATTTTAATCGGGGGTGGATAACAGTAATTTAATAATATACAGTAATGATATAAATTTCCATGATAATTGTTTCAAACGTGACAATTAATATTTTACCTCGCGCGCGCACACAAGATGAGAAATAAAATTGTGTATATAGCGAAAGCTATTTTGTCAAACGCAATTGAAATTTAACAAAGGAAGTCTTAAATGAGCAAACAAATCAGCTAAAATCTAACAATGAATAGAATTTTATCAATATAATATTTTTATAAGCTATTTTTTTTTATTTTTTTTTTTATTTTTTTTCAAATGTTCGTATCTCGAACTCTCATTAGCGAAAAATTGATTCCTGCATTATGTTCGAAGTGTCGATATTTTTAATTCGACATAACGGTAGTGAGGCGTCATGTATATATACCTTTCAATTTGGCGAGAACAATGCCATCCGGCTGGATAGATAGTTAAAACTCTGTGTGTGTGTGTGTGTGTGTGTGTGTGTGTGTGTGTGTGTGTGCTTGTGTAGTTGCATCGTTCTGTTTGCATTACTGGACGATGCGATGGTGAAGAACGTTCTCTCAGGATTCTCTCGCGGCTCGCCGATCACTTTTTGGACCTTTTTGGGTCTGAAGAACCAACCATGGCATCGGCATGCCAAGCCGCCCTGTGGATCTCGACACGAGTCCGAAGAACCGATTAAGTGAACCGGAATATCCACAGGCCCCGTTGCTTTGGGTC